AGGAGAAAGCAGGTATAACTAATAGATGGATGGATGGTGAGAAACACTAAAATTCCAAATGGAGTGCACTAAGATAGCTTAACTGAGGTTAACTTAATCTGCTTTATAATCTGCTTTTGTGACTCATAACAGATGTAGCATGTCAACAGCACAAGATAAAGTCAACTTCTTTTTTTTTTAAACTTGCGTCACAAGCCTAATTTAGTTGTCACTGCAATTTGGGGGGGATAAAAGTACTTTTAATCATGCATATGTTAAGAACTGTGGTTACAGAAACATGATTTTTTTTCTGCACCTCATGTCCTATTCAGCACCACTGAATAGGACATGAGCCAGCATGTCGTTGGAATTGGGTACATTTAGTCAATTCCTCGCCTAAATGTTATGTACAAAGAAAAAAAAAGATGCTCCTCTAGCTGGAAAAACATTACCCAGATTAGCCTGTGCACTTCCAAAAAAAAAATCACAGAGTATTAGCTGAAGCCATAACACGGTCCTGACGAACACATCCTGAGCCATGACCAAAAAAAAATTCCAGGTCCAGTAGTCACATCCCAGCATTTAATTGTGGTGGAAGGATGCCTTTTTTGGGGGCTTCAGATGTTGTAAAATACTTCTGTGACTCAAGAGGTTGCAAAAGTCAATACAGTGAAAATTCCACATGTACTGTTGGAGATCTAATGGAAATGTTGGGGGTCTTTTGTGGGTTTACAATAATTCCAACTGTGAATTATTGTAAAATCAATGCTTTTAAAATAGGTTGTCCTCTTTGTGACCACTGGTAAAAAATCTATTACATCCCTGCTAAATGTTTCTAGTCTTTCAGCTAATCTCGCCACCGAGGATGTTTTTTTTCCCCCCACATACAAGAGTCGAGTTTCCCAAAAGCATCTCAGGGTTATAACCATATTTGTTCAGCTAATGTTTCCATTGGCGTGTTTCCATCCCAAGATGAGTGTTGTGCATGCTGAGATACTTTAGACAGCAGGTCCAAATCGAGTGCCAGTGGTTCATTTGACATGAATACCGGCATTTTGGTATTGCTCCTGCAGAGAATCTCTGCATTTGGCACAGCTCCTCTTTTCAGATACTGGCTTTCATATACAGTACACTTAAGAAGCAGAAAATATATGTATGAACAGAGAGCACACAAAAAGAAAAAAAAACCCCAAACATCTCAACATTCAAATGGGTCGGAGCGAGAATTAAAGCAATTGCAATGTAAAAAGAAAAAGGCTTTCAGCTGCAGAATGTAAAATAGAGCAAGTTTTGACAATAGTAGTGGAGGAATATTATGAGCAGCCTTCCTTGCTTCCCTGGGAGAGTTTCATGGAGTGCTTTCTCACTGTGATAATGAAATGACCTGGCCTGCACTGCTCTACTCTCTCTCAAAAACACATCTGCTAGACGAGGGTGAAAATGAGAAAATCCTACCTCCTCTCCCGAGTTTCGTAAAGCATACTTTCAATATTCTTTTTCACAGAGAATGATGGGAATGTGAGTGACTGTGGACTTTTGTGTCCTTGTGAGTGTTGTGCGTTCCTGCAGCCGTGCGGCGTGCATGCATTACTCTGTGTCTGTGTGTGTGTTTGTAGATGCTCGCACTGCCTTGAGCAACTTGTAATAAACTGTATTTGAAGCACATTTGACATAACAAGGCACTATACAGAAATCCGGCGGATAGAAATCCCATAGAGTTGTCATCGTAACACGATTTTTGTAACTTCATTTTTGCGGATCGCACGCGGTGAAATCAATACAGTAAGCAGCAACACTCAGATCAAGGACTTCACTTTTGTCCCATTTCAAGGTAGAATCCAATAAGGCAAACTACAGTCCCACACTGTTTGGAGCTAATCTTGTGGGCCTTGCTAGACATTCAGGCCGTACCAGACTGATTCAGAAGAATGACTCACCAGTTTGGTACAGCACAGACTGCATGCAGACCATGTATTCCCTCAGCTTCTAGTTAACAGGGAATCTATGGCAGCACTGAGGCAGAGCGCTGTCATTGAGTTACATAATCAACAGAGGAGTGTAGCAAGAGTGTGTGTGTGTGTGTGTGTGTGTGTGCGCGTGTGTGTGCACGTGTGTGCGCGTGTGTGCGTGCGCCCTCGTGCATTTGTGTAGCTGCAATTCTTCTTGAGCTGTCGATCATGTGGTACACCAAGGCCACTCTAACACAAGGCTGCTGAGGTGGACTTTCAGCAACAATGGAGCTTAGCGTGTGTGTGTGTGTGTGTGAGTCCATATGTGTGGACTTTGCTAGTGTTTTTAAAGGCATATGCATGGATGAATAGGTGGCCACGTTTACAAGGCTGAAGGGGGGGAAAGCGAGCTACAAGCAAAGTAGGTGTGCATGCTGCGAGATGCGCCAATTTAGGTCCTTCACATTTTAACGCACAAGGCTACATTTCCATATCTATTGTGAGTGTGAGTGTGTGTGTGCTTATTTGTATCCTCTATATGCATGCTTGGCTGCGTAGACCTATTTGTGATGTTTTGTGTATGAGCCAAGCCTGTGTGTATAAGCATGCATGTCTAGTCATGTAAGATTACCCACTTAGGCCTGTTTGTGTGTGCACATGTGTTTATATATGTATGTATGTATCTCCATGGCTTTTGTGTAGATGTTTTCTTTTTTCTTATCCATACTGGCATTAAGCTAAAGAGAGCTTCTCCTGCTCAATGCTGCCATCTGGCTTCGACCAGCCCCACCACAGACATCCTAGGGGAGCTATCCGTGCGAGTCAGCGTCTGGTTTTAACAACTGTTTTGGGATCAGTTGTCCAGTGGGCTGGTGCTAACTCACCCTATTATGAGCGGGATGATAAAACTGACCTTGAAGCAGTTTATGGGCCTGGGATAATGGAAACCACTGATAGAGAGCCCATGAAACTGCACTCAGCTTTCAGTGACAAAAGAAAATAATGGTTTAACCACTTAACATTATTTTGAACGGTATCTAAAAATTTACGAGGAGACATTTTGCGTGCCGGCGCTCAGCTAGCGATGACGAATTAACAGGTTCACCGATTGTGAATCTGCATGTTAAGAATGAGGATTTACAATTTCAATTTTAAAAAATCGTGCCAAAGAAGTGAAAAAAAAGGCATTAGCGCATATTACAGATATTGTAATTATCAAGCGGAAGGGAGCAGAGACAGGGGAAGACGCTGTTATTTTTATTTTGGCTAAACTTTGTTTTGCGCCTCTCCTGCACCCAGTCATTTTCGTACAGTCCCTAAAATGCCAGCGCAGGGTGAAATTAAAACCGAGAAAATTAAACACAACCTCGGCGGGTCACGTGCAGGTTAAGACTGGTGCTTGCATATAAAACCAGTGGAGGTGGAACACAATTAGGTCAGATTGAGGCCAGACCATTTGTATGGGTCACAGTAAAAGTGCTCATATGTATGCAGGCTTATAGCCCCCCTGGGAGCAGTGGGCTGACCTTGTCCTATACTCTGATCTATGTCCTCATCTCCCCCTATGTCCTCTTTTCCTCATTCCTTCTCCCGTCTTTCCTCCCCCACTTCCTTTTTTTTTTTTTTACCACATTTCGCTCTCTTTAAACACCTCCCCTCCTTTTTTTTTTTAGCATTTCTTGTTACTTTCACTTTTCTCTCACCCTGCTTGGTTTCCTGTGATCACTCAGTTTCCAATCCAACACTTTTTTTTTTCCTTTTTAATTCACATACTTCCACTTTTTTTTTACTCATTTTTAACTCCCCCTTTTTTTTCCATTCCCCATTTTCTTTATCCCCTCTCGTCCTTTTTCCATATCAACAGCCAGTCTGATAAATAATGCATCACAGCACATTAAAAACATTAGTAGGGTTCTCTTGGCTGTCAAAGAGGAGGGAGGAGACGAGGGAGAGGAAAGGAATGGGTAACTCCATTTTAAATAAGTGTTGTGGAGAATGATGTGATTTAATATTAGCAGCGGAAATGTGCCAGAAAAAGGGGGTGAAGGTCCGAGCATTAATTGTGTTTTCGTCGCGTCCTTTTTTTTTTTTGCCTTTGGTGAAACATCTGAAAGCTTGAAGATTCATAAAGATGATGTCTGTATCAGCAAAGTCAAAAGAAAAGATTTAATGACATTTTGCAAAACACTGATTCTGCATCACACGGAAACCTTGACCTTTTTCCTTCTCCCTTTCATCCTTCGCTTTCCACGTCCTCTCCTCTCCTCTCCTCCTTTCCTTCTATTCCTCCTGGCAGCGTGGCGATTGGCATTATTAAAAATTGATTGGCGGCGAGCGTTTAGCAGGGTGGTGAGGCGGAGAGGGAAATTTTGACAGGCAGGAGTGAAATGAAAGGAGGGCCTCGGTGGACACAGTGTGGAAAGGTCTCACTGGGGGACAGAGTGTGTGTACGTGTGTGTGTGTGTGTGTGTGTGAACAAGCTTGTGTGTGCGTCGAGTAAGGCTGAGGCGTTTGAAAACTCACACAAGCTACTGTGTTTATACCTCCTGTACGTGTTGATGCTGCCGTATGTGAGTGTGTGTACGTCCACAACAATATATCTGAGCACACAGAGTCCACATACACTAAACTACGATGGCGCACGAGCACCCAGAAGCCGACACAGAGATGATACACAAGTCGCGGTAGCTCTGCTGACCCGCAGTTACCTCTCCGCCATCCTCCCTCCATCCCTCTTTCTATCGTTCCCTTCATCCCTCTCGCTTATCCCCCCCTTTCCAACCCTTCTCTCTCCTTTCATCTCAGATCAAATAATATTTCCAACCCATATTCCCAACCAGCTATTCCCCCAATGGCTATAAGTGCTACAGCTTTGGAGATTTTCAATACACTTTACCCGCAATTTGGCTGAGTGATTCTGAAAAAGTTGGGTTTTTTTTTTTTTGTCAGAGGGGGAGGAGGGGGAAAAGCATGTGTCGTTACATGATACTAACTGGTTTCTTTGTCTGTTGTCTTGTTCTCTCTTTCTCTTTCTATTATTCGTCCCCTCTTTGCTCTTTCTCTCTGTCACAGATGAACAGACCGATCCAGGTGAAGCCAGCAGACAGTGAGAGTCGAGGAGGTACTGTACGCCCTTCTTTACTGCTCCCCCCCCCCCCCCCCAACCCTCCTCCCTTGCTACCTTCCTTCCCTCCGCTCCCCTTTCTTTGTTCTACCCCTACAAACATGCTGCCTGTGTGTATCAGCCTCACCATTATCTGTCCCATTAGACGATGCCCTGTACCTCGACGCAGGCTGACAGCACGGCCTGGCCGGACCCTCCACTATTCAGAACACATTATGTAAACAGGGCTCTTCCTGGCCAGCGCAGCCTGCAGCTCCTTTCTTGGAGTTTCATCATATGCACTGATGCATGTACATGCGCGCACATACACAGAAACACGCGTCTTGTCGCGCTCCAAGGGGAAACAGGTAGCTTCTTTTGACAAATTCCCTTAAAAAACCCCCCGTCTGCAACGAGGCAAACTTTACTTGAGTCATGTCAAAAGTTTGTGTCAGCCCAAAGAAATGCAGATTACGTGTGAATGTAAGCCAACATCTAGTCTGGTATTTTTTGTGCGTCGTGCTTTATTGACAGCTAAGACTGCTTAAAGTGAATTTTCTATGTCTAGACATGTAGTGACCTGCTCCTGACATCAATCAATGGACTGTACAAGAGAAGATTGATGTAGTTTGACCATTTTTGGCTGGAGTCTTTCAAACTTTGCAGTTGTTAATATAATTGGCACCAGAGCGATTCTCCTGCCACAAGAAGAAGGGGAAGGAGAGAGAGTTGGTTGGGGGGTAGGGGGGTGGGGGGGAGAAGAAGAAATAGAGCATGCAAGGAGTTGAAGGTTGATAAGCAGGAGAAGCATAAGGACTGAGAAAGGTGTTAGCCTGTAAAAAGAAAAAAAAATCTTCAGGAAAGGGAAGAGAGATCGTGCAACATCCTCTTCTATTTAGTTTGGTGGTTCTCTGAGTATGATTGATGGAGCGGGAGGGAGGAGAGGCAAGCACCGAGCGTGAGGAAGCAAAGTGAGGGCAATGCCAGACGGCCATACCTCTGTCTGTGTTTGGGCTCTGTCTTTCTCTGAATGTATGTCCTCAGCTCCTGTTCCCGCTCCATTTTCCACACTTGTGTCTTTCCGACATTATTTCTGTCTTCTTTCTTTCTCCTTACATTTTCACACATTCCAGCAAAAACTACACACAGTAATTCTGGGGTGTTGCATTTCTAATTACAATGGCGGAAGGAGAACTCACATCTTTTACTTACGTAAAAGCAAACACAGTCCTGGAAAAGTACATAAACATTACCAGCATTTCTGGTATCAAAAGCAGGGGAGAAAAAAAACTACCCCTACTGCAGAAAAATGTCCGCTGTGATGGTTTTATTATTCCACAGTATATTAATAGAATGCTGATACTGACGCATCAGTGCAAGTGGCATTTTCCTTATGTAGCTGGTCCAGATGGAGCTATAATTTAATATTTTATATACAGTCACTTATGTAATCCAGTTGTTCCCAATTTACGAATGGGTGACAAAATAAATCTGAGTGGAGAGACTCTGATTAATGGGGAACCTTTTTTTGGTGAAATAATGATTAATTTTACCTCTTTGGGATTACTTATTCGAAAATGAATAAGTGACTCTTCAGTGGGGCCGCTAATAGACTTCTGAAACATGGCAGGGATTCCCGACTAGGCGCTGCTTACTGTAAAGGTTTGGAGCCACTGATTTAATGCTCTGTATTTTAAAGGCTTATCGCGTGGTGTCGACTGACTATATCTTTCTAATAATAATAAATGTATCCGAGTTATAAAAAGTTCAACATTTCATCTCTGAAATGAGCCGAAGCATTAAGTAGAACAAAATGGAAAATACTCAGATTAACCCTCTGAAGCTCAGGCAGTTTCTGGGCGTTTTATTTATTTTTGGTCTGGTCACATTTTTCCTCACTGTGGACTCATTTTTCACTATAACATAGAGTCCTGCACCTCTGTGGAAACAGCACATCCATGGCTAGAGGAAGAGAGAACTCAAAAATGTTTTCTGTGCAGTATGACACAGTTATAATGCCATAAATCGTAAAAAAGAAAAAAAAAAAGAAAAAGAAAAAAACTGAAATCGATGCCTCTACATGCTAGAAATATTTGACTACTTACTACATTTGCATACTAGTTTGTTTCCATACTTGTCTCCTGTCTTCTCTGTGTAAAAACAAGCTACAGTTCAACCAAAAAGGGCCTGAATTTTTGTCACAGAACTTAGTTGCAACTTAGTCAATAACTGCATAAAGACTGTTTATTCCATGAAAGATCTTTTCTGTTTTTTATAGAACAATGTTTTATCTTGGCAAACATTTGAATTAAACATGTAGAATAAAGTGATTTTGGTGAAATACTATGATTTTAGGTTAAGATCTGGTTAATTTTCCTACTGGAATTGTAGACCAGTAGTTCAAGCACTGATAGAAAGTTGAAAATCTGACTATTCTTTCTGTTTTCACAGTTTCTGGCTCTGGTGGTGTAATAGTGTAATCTGGGTGATTTTTTTTTTTTAAAGACTTTCAAGTCTGCTGGTGGGATTTGAGGATTCAGAGGGTTAAAATACCTCAGTACTTTAATAACAGCACTTGAGTAAATGAGTACTTAGTTACTTTCTACCACTGGTTAATTGATAATGTCAGTGAAGAAGGATCTGTGTAACTGATAACGCTATAAAATGTAAAGCGTGGCAAAAATCAATAATGAAATTAGAAACTACTACTTTTTATATATCTTTTATGCATGTAGCCAACTAAAGATTGGTGTAGAGGGAGATCAGGGAGCCATTGTAATGTACTGCTGGTGTGTGTTGGAGAGAGAGAGTTTTTGCATCACTGCTGAGACTCCGGTGTATATTGATTTGCTCTCTTGCTGAATATGAGTGTGTTTGTGCATGTGTGCGCGTGTGTGTTAAGTCTTTTCCCAAAGAAAGATGTAATGTTTATTGGTGGCTTCCCTGGAGAACTGTATGCTTTGGCCACCAGTGAGGTGTGTACTATGAATGTGTTTGTGTCTAAGACGATGTAGTTGGTGGGGGTGTGGGGGGGGTGCAAACATTTCCAGATTTGTGTGTGCGTGTCCGTGCATATGTGTGTGTCCTGCACCTCTGATGTGCGCTACACTCTTGTAAACACTCACCATTCCCACCCCCCCCAACCCTACCCTACCCCCCCTCCCCCGGTGCAAGGCCAGAGCGCAGATTAGTCTTGTTGACTCGGCAAGGACACCCTGTCAGGCACAGGCAGCGGGGAACGGACCCCAAAGCACGCACGCATGCACACACTCACGGGTACCCGCACCTACGCACACATTAATTTGCAGAGCACATTCAAGAGGCGATCGCAACCGAGGCTCATTAATTTCCAAACATATACATCCATTTCCACAAAGCTCAGAATCTACGTAATGCCAGAACAGACGACAGCCCCGAAAACACTGACGCATCTGCCACTGTTGGCACAAACACACTTTCACCGTCTGCTTCGCAATTCCCCCTCAAACATTCGTTCGGTGACGCAAGCGCGCTTGTCATGTGCTGACACTTGAACTGAACTGATGCTGGACCACAGTCTGCCTGCATTCTCCTAAAGCACATGTTTACTTTGATTATTTTTCCAATTCTTCTTGACAGCATATAAGTTTGTTTGCGTAGAAAGAGGGAGAAACAAACATATTTGGTTAGGATTACTTCAAGTCCTCAGGGGCTTTTTTTAACCAAATGTTAAGAAATGACTATTTTAAGGCAGAAGAGGGCAGCAGTTGCTATGTGCAAAAAAAGAGTGGTTGCTATGTTTTTACAAATGAGAAATAGACCAATAAATGTGGTGAACTGGTGCTGTGTAAAGTGAGGAACAAGTTAGTCTTCTGATGTTTTGATAGTTATGTAGTTACCCTCCTTTCCAAATCCCACATTCATGTCGCTGTCTGCTGGATTCCACATCTTTGATTCATGCAACTTGTTATTTCTCGATTTCGGATGCACATTTAATGATAATAACGACGACAAATATGATATTCCGTGTAACCGAGTTCCCCCGGAAAGACTGGGAAACTGAACTTAGTTAAATTTTAATCATGTTGTGACCCGAGGACAGGCGCAGCAACGCGTCTGTCTTGTCTCATTCCTGACACCTGTGGCAGGCGCAATTCCTATATGTAGCAGCTTTTGACGGATTCAGTCAAAAAAAATAAAATGTCAGACAAGCGTGACAAGTTAGACGTGGTGGAAAGTCACGCGTCATTGGTGATTTCGGTCACGTCACGTCATTTCGCGCCCAACAAAAACATCTGCCGGGATAGTTACCAGGATGTTGTGTAACGGATATCGTCTCTCCACGCATTGTGTATTCATGTTTATTTAAATACAAAATGCGATGCAAAAAAGAAAAAGAGGTTTGCCTGTTGCAAGTACACTTTCTAACGTTCAACAGAGAGACTATTTCATCCTCCTCTCACGCTTGAGTATATTATAGTTGTCAGGTGAAATCACCAGGAAGATTTTTCATTAACTGACAACACCTTACTGCCAACTCCAGATCCCAGTACGTTCCACTGTGAAGGGGAAAAATAAGGCAGGTGTAGCGGTGAAATCACAGGTGTGGTTAGCTGCCATAAATAAATAAGCAGAAACATTAGTCTGCTTTTAATTTAATGACTTGCAATGTTAAAGCTGGGCCAGAAATGGAAACAGGGAAGGTGTACGCTGCCTGTTCGGATGGTACAAAGCGAGACGCTGCAGATGAATTCCCCGAAATAAATGAATATCCTCTTATCTAAACTGTGAAGCCACGATACAACTGTAAGCCAAATCAGCTTGGTGTACGACTCTGAATGTAAGAGAGATATTAACCAGTAACAACATTTATCACAAAGGGATTAGGGATGCGGTTATAAACAAGCATTCGCCGCAAAGGAAAACAGAATACGACGCGAGAGAGCACTGTTGTTAGCATCACACAAACTTTTGCCATGCATGATGCCAGCCAAACTCCCACAGGACAGAAACTGCACATAAAAGGGGTTTCTTGCCTTGATCATCATTTCCTGCAAACTTGTAATGGACAGCTGGTTAAATAGTGTTAAGAAATCTCAAGCCAGATACACAGAAACTGCTGCAAACCTCAATCAAAACACATAGTAAGAATAACGTATTTTGCTAAAAAAGGAACTCCATTTAAAAGGCCCACTACAGATATTAGCCCCACCGGATAATCAGGGATTATATAAATTATTGTCAGTGAAATCTGTCGCTAAATCTAACACATTCCAAACTCTATACATTGTGGCTTTATGTAATAAAATTATCAGCATCCTCCAGTGGCTTATTATAAACTCTTTAATTGTTATTCTATTGGAACTGCATGGCTTAATTCTATTTTCCAAACAGAGATAAACACGTGAAACACTGGACATATTAAAGCCTCAACCACCTTAATGACATTCAAAGTTGTGTTTGCAACTGAACAAAATGGGCTGATAACGCAGTGTTGCAGCCAGAATAAAAATCGGTGCACTCCATGGCGTCACCAAACCTCCCTGATAGTTCTCGCACGCTTTTCCAGGGCTGAGTGAAAACTGCTACTATTTCAGCAAATATAAGCGTGTCTTTATGTAGAATATCAAAAGGCATCTCTGATCCCCTGATCGTGACCTATTCCTTTTCCTTTTAGAAGACAGAAAGCTCTTTGTGGGCATGCTCAACAAGCAGCAGTCAGAAGATGATGTGCGGCGCCTTTTTGAGTCCTTCGGCAGCATCGAGGAATGCACCATCCTCAGAGGTCCCGACGGAAACAGCAAAGGTGAGTTTATAGCTGTTTATGACTTTGAGCCAGCAGACTTTTTCACAGGCTGCTGCACAGAAATGATTTGGCCTTTCAAAGTTGGTGACTTTGCAAAGTTCTCCTTAAACACTCCATGTTGAGTGATGTCAAAAGCAGGCAATTTCACAATCATCAGAGGAGTCTTTACATAAGAATACTGTAGATTCAGTAAATTTAAATGCCATTGGAAAGCTTTGCCCACAGGGATGAGAGATATAAACCACCAACTCTTTACAGATGAACCCCATTAACCTCATGAGTCAACCTACATGGCTCTGATAAAGAGGAAAAAAACTAAGTCAACCTCCTTATTAACCATCGGGCTTCGTGTCATGCCAGAAAAATGTCCTTTCAAAATGTTGTCAGAGTGCTACACAAGTTCACTGCATGAAGTTCATCAGTGGGCTTAGCAGCCAATCAATGAGGCCCGATGATAACTAAGCCTGATGATTACAGTGGGCTTGATCATTCCGATTCCTCCGTGAAGCTCCATTAACAAGGCTTCATCAGCCAGCTTACTCGCCTAAGTGGGCTTTAGCTCAATAATTACTGGGAACTTGATCATTCAAATTCATCAACGGCACTTGTCAATAGTAAGTGACACCAGAATGCTGTGGCATTTTAAGCCCCATCAGAGGATCCCCAAGTTGTTAATGGTGTCAGAGTGGCATGTTTAGCCCGCGTATTGAGCGTCGAGCAACACTGATGCAGCAGCAAAGCGCGCCGTCTTCACTAAATAGTTGTTGCTGTAATCCTGTACAAAATTTATCCCAGGTGAAACAATGGAACCTTTTACTGGAAACACTTTGCCGCGATACTGTATGATGTGCTTCTCAGAAAACTTTTGTCGTTTCTTCTCACTGTCTCTTTATCCCCTTTACTCATTTCTTGTCTCGCTCTCTTTAGGCTGTGCATTTGTAAAATACTCCTCTCATGCTGAAGCTCAGGCAGCCATCAGTGCACTACACGGCAGCCAGACAATGCCTGTGAGTACAACGTAACTGTGTGTGAGCATGTAGGTGTGTGAGAGGTGACTCACACAGAGAGATGAGTCAAATGGCGCCTAATTACCTTTTTAAAGTTAAGTTATACTTTATTAATCCCACTGAGGAAATTTGTCCTTTAGATATGACCCATCCCAACTTTTTCAGTGCCAACGGTAGCTCTGAGGCCGCCGCTTTGGCCGCAGTTACAGGCGAGGATGTGTGTATGAGTGTGCGAGTGCAGATACAAGCTGATGTCACTTGTCTATCGACCCACACTAACATGTACTGCCTGCCGCGTGTGTGTGTATATGTGTGTGGGTGGATGGGTGGGTGCACAGGGTGCCTCGTCCAGTCTGGTGGTAAAGTTCGCTGACACGGATAAGGAGCGCACCATCCGCCGCATGCAGCAGATGGCTGGTCAGATGGGCATCTTCAACCCTATGGCCCTGCAGTTTGGAGCCTACGGAGCCTACGCTCAGGCAAGACGCCCTGCAAAACGTCTTTTTAATCCAGTTTTTTATTGAGTGAGCAACAGAGATTAAATGGAGTGCAGCTCACAGACAAATGTGAAACACGAGAAAAAGAAGTAGTGTAAAGTCAACTTAAGTTGAAAAAAGATACAAGAAACACATTGTTCAAGACTCAGTGTCTGTTTTCTACCTAATAGCCTTTATAGCCATACTTCTTGCTTTTTTTTCTGTGTTTCTAACTCAGTAATCTCAAAGCCTCTCTTGTCTTTCCTTTCATTACTCTCCACCGTCCTCTCCTGCTCCACCTACAGGTGCAGCAGCAGGCAGCGTTGATGGCGTCTGTAGGTCAGGGAGGCTACCTCAGTCCAATGGCAGCCTTTGCAGCTGCCCAGATGCAGCACATGGCCACCATCAATGGCCTCCCAGGAGCACCGCTGACCCCCACGTCAGGTAACAGCAGTTAAAGGTCAAAGGTTAAAGGACCATGCAGGATTTTGAGTATTTATGTCTGCTGTAGAAAAGGCATATAATGACCATTTTCTGAAGCTAACCGTACATGCTTATGCAGCGATAAGCTTACATTCATGTTCCCACGGGAACCTGGCAGTATGACAATATGGTGCATCTCAAACATGGAGGTTACGGACCGCTGGTTTAGATGCTTATATATGTTTTCATTAGAAACACAGCATTAGGTAGCATCACCCCAGTTAAAGGCCATTATTGAGAGAACCACAGATAAACCTGCATCGATGCATTTAGATGTTCAGACAGTGAACAACAAGAGGTGAGAGTAACTTGCATTACAACACATGCAGCCAGGTAATTATAGGGTTATGCATGAGATCCTACAGTTAAAACAAAGGTCCTTTACATCCTATTTATTCACATTTATTTTTATGTTGGCAAGCCAGCTATAAAGCCTCACTACTCATAAACTGGCAAAATTCCATATTCCTAAATGTAAACTTGTAAATAATAAATAACTAAACAAATGAAACTTCAGACTTACACAAATCTCTTGTAAGGATTGGAATGTCCAATGCTTTTGTGAAACAGTTAGATATTAATGACTATAAAAAATAAGTTTAAAAGAAACACTTTTTAGTCGCAAGTTTAAACCTATTCAGGATTTTCATGTTGCCATACACAGAAGGAAAGAACATGTGCAAAATATTTGTTGGTATTCATTATAGACTTATACTATGTTAAATACATTTTATAAGTTGACATATTTTTGGTTCCAAATGCATGACAAATGTCCCACTTTTTATATTTAAATAAAATAAAATAAAATCTCCAAAAACAAAAAACAATGCCAGTCACCTAAACCAAATGGCCTGAGGTACAAAAGACCCCTAAAGTCCTGAATAGGGTTAAATAAAGGTAAATGAAAGGACCTAATTATCTGTCTGTTTACATAAAGTAAATTCAAGAAACATTTTGGACAAAGTAAAGGTTCTATGGAGGCTGTCAAAGTCAAACGCATCTGCCGTAGAGGTCATACGTCCTCTCTCAATGAGGTCTGCCATCTTGTACCTGCAGTAGGACGTCTTGATATTTTCTCTATCTGCGGTGTCAGATATAAACTGCTTCCTCACATTATTCCTGCGATGGTCTGGAGACATGATTATCCATTCAGCACAGCTGGTTTGCTCCATTAGGCATTAGTGAAGAGGACAATAGCGTAACTTACTGATAAGGCAACAGCAGTGGGTCAGAGAGACATTTTACAAATGTCAGGAGCAGTTGTGCTTGTATGCCGAGAATTTTAAATTTGAGCGGATCATTACAAATCAAATATTTAATTGCTTTCCCAAGCTCAAACAGTTGTTCGAATTTCAGATAAAATGTGACAAGCTTATTAACTACAAAAGGGGCAAAGCTGTTTATCCAGTTTAACAGATAGCAAATATTATGCCTTTCGCTGTCAAATTTATTAATGTCAACAGACCTCCTACAACATAATGTATATCTGCATCAACAGTACTGAGGCACGAGATTTTTTTATTCACTGTATCCGTGAAAATTAGATGGTGAGGAAAATCTAATCTTAAAAAAGTAAGCAATGTTTTTGAATATTGAGGCAGACGCAGAGTAATATCACTGAATAAAAACATATGCTCCTTTAAGGTCGTACTGTATCGTTGCTCTGGAACAGTACAGTAGAAAGGGACAGAGCGCAGTGGATATTTTAAAATATAGCGTATATTAAATCTCAAGAATCTGTACTGTAAATGTTTCTAGGTGCAGTGAAGGAGTGCAAATGCACATAATTCAAGAATATATAATTGGTACCCTTTTGATATCAGAGCAGCATTCACTATTCTCAAACAATATGTCTGAGACTCAGATCTAATGGCTGTTGTGTCACACTAAGGGCTATACTGGGACAAGAAATCAGCCCTGACATTTAGTGTCTTCACCGGCCCACTGGACCGGCCCCTCTGACATTTGCAAGAGTTACTAGGTGGCCAGTCAAAGTAAAACTTCTCCATAATGTCTTGGGAGAAAATACAGTGGAAGGCTTACCGTTTCTCTCTGTCGTTGTCCGTTTGCCCCCGCGGCTGCAGGTGGCAGTACACCCCCAGGCATCAGCGCCCCCACAGTGACCAGCATCCCCTCTCCCATTAGTGTAAATGGTTTTACTGGCATGCCTCCCCCCCAGGCGAATGGGCAGCCCCCTGCAGAAGCTGTCTTTACCAACGGGATACACCATTACCCTGGTAAGTCTCATAATCTGAGGGGCATGTATGCAAACACACAAAAAGGACTCCCGGATACAAAAAAAAAATGCATATAAAGCAGTTATAAAATTATGGTAAACTGTGACTTTTATGACAGCGAAGACTGAATCTCTATAGACACACATCTATTGTAAGAGGAAAGTGTGCATGCCGCTGGCTTACAGACAGTGAATAGCCTTGAAGCATGTTCAGGAGGCCGAGGCCAGACGAATGTAGCCGACAGACAGCGAGCATGTCGAGGAGATGAGTGTTTGGCGAAAGGTGCTTATGGGCTGCTGGAGCCTAAGTATGCGCTTGTGTCATGAGCCGTGGCTAGTACCTCATTGGTTCTGTTTGTGAAGAGGCGGAAGAAAAATTTGTCTTCTTTTTACACTCTTGTCTCCCCAGTGTTGCAGGAGGTGGTTTTTAGAGAGGACTCAGAGAAAAACGGCTTGGGCGTGGCTCCGCGGAGTTGTTTTGGGGTTCAGGGTGGCTGCTTCCTCTCCTCTCTCTCTGAAGGTAGCCCCTCTCTCTCCCTCACCCACCCTCACCCCATCTCTCTGTGGGCTCAAAAGCTGTCGCCAAGATTTCCAGCATGTGAAATAATGAGAAAGCAATCATTTTGAAGCTATTTGTAAACCTGTGAAGAAAAAAAATAATAATTCAAGTTTCTGACGGTGTAGTGGAGATTTGTAAAGGAAAAAAAAAAGAAATATGAAAACCTAAAATACCTGCAGACACTATTCAGGGCTAAAAAGGGCACTGACTACTTTGTTTTTCAGGCAGCGTTTTTATCTGCAGTCCCATGCTCCTGAAAAGATGCACAAATTCAGATAATCTTATTCAAATAAAACCTGTGCCCTTATCTACACATTCACAAACTTGCAATTCCCCGGGCGAAAATGTAAAAGTCTCACAGATTTACAAAGAACGATACAACCGCAGCGTTTCAAATCATTATCATTTCACAAGCTGTAAATTTTATTGAGGTGTATTTGAGCCCATACCTCTCCTCCTTTCTTCTGGCTATCTGTGACTGTTTTTCAGTGTTGCTGTTTAGTCTACAGTCTGTTCAGTATTTCTTTGGTTTGAAGTGGTATTGGGGTTATCGGTGTGTGTACATGGTTTTTTTGGTGTGTGTATGTGTGTTTCCTCAGTGGCGTACTTAATGTGCATGTAATATGTGTACAGATGGGTAGTTAAAAAAGTGCAGCACAGCATCTGTGGTAGTTACAAGTGTGTTAAAATGCAGGGAGAATTTCCAAAAAAATGTGAAGCGATAGCAACAGGTGCATCCTCTGTGGTGTGTATTGTGCTCGTCATGTTGTACATGTGAAAAATACATTCATTTTTATAGGATTTGTGTGTAATAGGCACCAGTTTATGACACTGTTTCTTTTCCTGTGGTGACAGTCGAGCTATGTGGTGTTTCTTTTTTTTTTTTTTTTGTCTTAACCGTGGACCTTGAAAGTTTTTTAGAGAGAAAAAAAAAAGAGCTACTTTTGAAATGCTTTGCGAGGACCATTAAGTAAAAAGGTCTGCAAAAGAAAGAGAGATTCAGAATTCAGTTCCTCACACACTGAAACCGAAGCGAGTTGACTCCACGCTGTTCGACTCTCTAACCTTTCTGCTTTTCTTCTCCTGTCTGTTCTTCTCTCCATCGCCCTCCTCCCTCTCACCCTTGTTATATATTACTCTCGCCTTCCTCCGTGCCCTCTCCTCCATCTACATTCTCCCTCCGTCTCCCTCTGCCTCATCTCTCTACCCCAACACACACACACACCTCCATCCATCTGTGCTCGGCCCTCCTCCTCCACCACCACCACTACCACCACCACCACCACCTCCTCCTTCTTCTTCTTCTCCTCCTCTCTGTGTCTCTGCTGAAGCAGCTCAAAGTCCCACTGCAGCTGATCCTCTCCAGCAGGCTTACACAGGAGTCCAGCAGTATGCAGGTCTGTCTGTCACTCTCACTGCAGCACTGATCTGTGTGTCTGCATCTGTGCGTGGAAGTGCGTTGTTGTGTGTGTGTGTGTGTGTGTGTGTGTGTGTGTGAGTGTGTTTGCGCGAGAGCGGCGAGGATAAAGATAAGCATCCCTTTGTTCAAATTTGAATTTTGATCATGTAACATTAAGTGTTGCCGTCTCACTACATCAATTTATTCTCCGCCGCGTTCGGTTGTGTGTTTGTGCAACATGTAGACTCTATTGTCTGTTATCTGATCGATTGCCTGCTGTGCCCCTGCATATATCACATTGTTTGTATGTATCCGAGGGTGTGCTCTAGTCATGACTGTTATCTGATCCGCGGTGTGTGTGTTTTGTGTGTGTCTCAGCAGCCTACCCCGCTGCATACGGTCAGATCAGCCAAGCCTTCCCCCACCCTCCACCCATCATTCCACAGCAGCAACGAGAAGGTAACGCACACGCAAGCACACCAGTCGTGGCACACTCCCTAAATATTCATGCATGTGGCAAACATTCACTCTTATTTACTTCTGCTTTGTTCACCTTTTTTTCTGGTTGCCAATGCTGTCCTGGAATAAACAAACATGTTCAAACAGATGCAGGCAATTCATAGTGGTTTCTATGTTTGTGAGTGATTTCACATTTTGCCAGTAAGCACTCTAAAACACTAGATATCCAGTATAGTCGCGCTGGGTATAGTACAAGAGTTTAAAATGATAAGACAAGGCTGGGGGAAAAAAAGCTTGTTTTTATGTTTTTAAAAACAATATCTAAAAAAAAAGGGAATAGTTGAATAGCATACCAAAGAAAAAAACAATATTCTTGTAATTATTGCTGACTATTTCAAACTGAGCTGTAAACCCACTCATGAACTTAATGACCCCCAGGTTTGGGACACCATGTCTGGGGCCTTACTGCCCTCTTGTGGAAAGCAAACAAAATAATGCAAATCATACAGCAGCCGTGGCAACTCGTGAAGTAGTTGTTTGATAAAGGAAAACTAAAATTCAATATATTTACTGTGTGAATACTGTGAACTATTTATTATATCAGAAACTTTTAAACCACCCGAGCACTTTAAATTACTACCAACTAATAACTGAGGAAAACTTCTCTGCGCTTCTTCTGTTTTTGTAGCCGTGATATGTAATTATATAGTAAGTTATTGAGTGGAAAATATGTTTCAACTCTCAAAACTTCTAATTTTAGGGAGTCCATTTCACAAAATTGATTTGCAAACACTTCCACATGCCAAAGGTAGCAGTGTCAAAAATGAAGGCTGCTCAAGGTGCGTTCTTGCATGACCGTGCACGGGTTACAGGTGTTTGCTTGGATTAGTGAAACTACACAAAATTTCCAGGAGAGGAAATGGTTTGATGTTGCTAATTGGAGCTTTCATTTTGAATGTTTGATGAAACACGCCCCTGCTTTATCTGGAAACAGTAAAAAAAATATCCATCCGACAGCCTAGTGTGACGTCTTTAAATGTCACATTTCATCGCACAAACATTGCAAAGATATTAAATTTACATAAGAAACAGAGGGGCAGAAAATTTCACTAATAAGAGGATCATACAAATAAAACGTTTGCTTGAAAATTACCAAGCGATTATCAAAGTATTTCCCAATTAAATTTCTCAGTCAATGAATTGACTGATAGTTTGCTCTACTGTTTTTAATCAAATGTTCACATTTTGTTTAATTCTGATTCTGAATTATGAGCCGTGGTGCATTAAAGTATGTGACATCACATTTTTCCACGTCCTTAAAATCAATGAGAAGAGTTAAGATAAACATATACGTTAGTCTATCATCCTTATTTTTTACTTGGTGCTTTAATTTCAATTTGTATTTTTTTTTTTCTGTCATCATTGAAACTTCTCCTGTCGTGGTTTCCCCTTTTAATTCTTCCCCTGCTTGTCTCTGCTCGTCTCTCCGTCTCTGACCTTTGTCCTTTATCTGTCTCCCTTCTCGTGTCTCTCTCTCTGTTTGTTTCCGTGCAGGTCCAGAGGGTTGCAACCTGTTCATCTACCACCTCCCTCAGGAGTTTGGGGATGGAGAGCTGATGCAGATGTTCCTGCCTTTCGGTAATGTCATCTCCTCCAAAGTGTTTGTGGATCGGGCGACAAACCAAAGTAAATGCTTTGGTGGGTAAAAATGAACAAAACCAAAGGTTTATTGGTTATTTATTCTGATTATTCTTTTTTACTAATCACCTTTTGTACCGCAGTCAACACCCCTCCCCACCCCCCTCCTAACCTCTCAACACCTCTCCTTTTAAAAGTGAAAAACCAAAGAGTAGAGAATTTCTCTGCAATTGTGAAAAAAGCTGGTCTCTGCTAATAAGAAAGAATGGAGACAGAGTGTCTGGATTTCTCTATTAATCATTACAGCTGTTTTCCTTTGAAGGTCTAACCTCTTGAATTATTTCAGCGATATATTGATGTTTTACCTTCACAGATACATTGCCATAGTGCTCTTTATGACATGTAATACAAATGCTGACTCTCAATCTTCTCCACTGTCTGCAGCTTACTGTAAGCCAAACCCAAAGTAACACATGCTGCGAATGCAACTAAGACTATAACAGTTCCTCTGGCATGCAAAGATAGAGAACTGCCGTTTCACTTTATGCCGCTGACAGCACAATGTAGCCGCATAATTATGTGGCAAATTATAAATGGATTGTGGAGAATGTTTAATGGAGAGTCCATCAGGTGCAACCCATTTGCAAATTAGCTTTTGCTCATTTATACAACACAACATTAATGTTGTATTATTCATGCTGCAGTTTTGAGACGCAGGTTTTAATTTGTGATTTGATGCTCTCTCACATTCAGCTAGAAGTTAAAAAGCGAAACTCAAATATAACACGAGCATATTGATGTTTCGGTTATAAATCCCATTATCAAGTTGTGTTGTGATTTTGGCTGCATGCTCCTCTCTCTGTTACGATTGTGATCCTATTGTTGTTGACACGCTGTTACAGAGACATACATCTGTGTTATGTTAGTTATGTTAATAAACTACTGTAGTATAGTTATTGTACGTTACACTATATTAATGCTTACAACTAGTCAGTTTGTGGATGTTAATGTTTTTAATTTTTCCTTCAGTTTTAGAGTCATACTTCCATATAAAACACTGCTCTTTCTTAATAAACTCATCTTCATATTCCACACTTTTATAACCCCAAACTGTCCTCAGCTCTTCATCTAACAACATCCCTCTTTCTCTCTCTTTTGGCCTTTCCCCCAGGGTTTGTGAGCTTCGACAACCCAGGTAGTGCCCAAGCTGCCATCCAGTCAATGAACGGCTTCCAGATCGGCATGAAAAGACTCAAGGTGCAGCTGAAGAGGCCAAAGGACGCTAACCGCCCCTACTAGCCCCCGCCCCACCCAGCCGCCGCCATCCTGGCGGCCGGGGCAGCCGTCGATCACAGGGAAAGACAGGTGAGACATCGTGCTCAGCTCATCTGGAAACTTTTAGTAGTTTGATAGGTGATTAACTGAAGCAATGCATGCATATTATACTGGCAAACACTCAAATGGCAAGCCCATTTATGACACCGCCTGATGTGTTTTCCATAACATTTTGTGAATGTCGTAAAACATTTGCAGGTGCCTAATAACTAGCTGATCATCTCTGAATTACTTGTAAAGAATAGTGATGAAGTTTTTCTCCGGCGCTGCATCCAAGTATGCATTTGGAAACGTTATGCCAATGTGACTCATTATTGTGCAAGATTTACTGTAGTGCCCTGCTAATCCACTTATCTCAATGGCAGCAGCTCATGTTTAAGTGAAACGCCCCACACACACTGGAGGGAAAAAAGGTTCTGAAAGCAGACAACATGAAAAAAAAAAACAAGACCTCTCGGTAATCTCTCAAATTTGAAGCCTTCCAGTTTAGTAAGAATAAAACGTTGAATGTTGTTGTACACACATATCGCTGTGTTACAAAACAAACAAGGCTGTCGAGGCGTTTGCTTATATGCAGCCTCCTCTATTTGTAGAACATCTTTACAGTAAGTGACCCTGTATGTTACCCTGTAGGTAAAAGATAATTGGTAAATGGTTCAAGTGTGTTGCACAGGGAACGAAGTGCTTCCAAGGGAGAGGCATTTATTACCCCTCAGGCGGGTAATTGTGCCGTTCCTCTTTGTCTCCTCCCTTCATCTGTGTGATGGAGAGTTTAGGCTGTGTCGTTCATTCACCACTGATGACTTCATTCAAGGGCAACTTATCACCCACTCACAAACTAACTGAACCATACCAGACAGAGTCCCGAGGCAAATCACTGCAGGTGGAATAGTGCAATCTCATATGGATTTGTCACAAAATATGTGGCTGCATTCCATCTGATATACCAAAACATTTTCAGCAGCATGTTGGAGAAAATATCTTCTATGATTTCCTTTTTCTTTTTTTGCCGGAAAGTGATTACAGAGTGTGAAATCCAAACTGATTAACAAGTGTGGGGCAGCTTCCCAGTTTACTATTATTATATCCAAATATAATAATAATAATAATGCCCTATTAATAAGATAGCGAGCTGAAGTACCAGTGCTTAATGACAAAGGAGGGTTCAGGTGTGTCTTGATTAAAATCCCTTCATCATTTCAACAACAGGATTAAACTGTTTGATTTATAAAGAAAACAAAACCTAATTGTTTTATCACATAGAAGATTGCAACAGCGTCACTGCCAGGGAGCCAGATTAATTCACTGCAGGATGAGCGCTCATTTGTTTTCAGAATTGTCTCAGCAAAATGATCTTTGTTTATCCATACCAGGACTTAGAGTCTTAGAGCTTGGCTAAGATGCTTTAGAGAGGCAGGTGTCCAGTAAGTATTCTGCACTGCTTTATGCGCATGTAAATACAGCATAAATCAACAGTACGGGAAGACACACAACTGATGACATTTCAGCTTTTTGTTTTTTCCCATAGTTGAAGCAAAAGTCCAAAAAAGTTAAACGCAAAATATCTCCCCTTTGTTTTTCTTATGGGTTAGAATGTATTGTAGAAATGTGGTTTGTTATTAAATTAAACTTTATCACCAGAAGGCCTAACTGTCTATTTGAATCCAACTAAAGAAAAAAACAATTACAAAACTCGGCATGTCATTTGTGCAAATAATCACTGGATACCTTCAGACGCCCAACTTGAGATCAAATTTGAGTGGGATTTTAGACAAAGCTTTGCAGCCACAACCATGCTAGCAGCCTTCTTTGGCACAGTGATGTTCCTGAGCTATCTGCAAACAAGCTAACAATTCATACAAGACAAGAAGAAGTGTAATTGTGAACAACAAAGTCATCAAAATACATTATCTGGAAAACATTATTATCTCTACAAATTGTTGGTTCAATCCATTTTGCAGGTTTTGAGATGTCTTTGAAAAGGTTTGAGCTGCTGGTGGCAATGGAAGAATAGTCAGGATTATACTTATAACTAAAAAGACAAACTAGAAATAATAACATCGTGGTGGCGCTAGGGGAGAAGTCAGGGGGCAATAAAAATTTGAATGCAATCCATCCAACAGTTGTTCAGATATTTCAGTGTGGACCGGTCTGTATTGGACCCCCATAATGTCATGTGCTTTGCAACATTTGGATATGCATGTTTCATTTTTCTACCTATTAGCTGGCTTAAACAATTCCTGTTTCTTCTGTGCTTTTTAGGTTTTGTTGAGCTGAATCATATGTTGATTACTTGCTACCCACCACTGAGTGCAAACTCAACATCTGGACCACTGAGGCTGCTTCTGAACCAGAGGAGAGAGAGAGAGAGCGATGACCGAGTCAAGGACACCTCCTTTTGGATGTACTAAAACTTTGGAACTCAGAGAGCATTTGTACCAGCCTGGTTAGCCCCAGGACTTTTTTTCTTCTGCACACATATACACACCTCTTTCCCCACAAAACCCTGCTTGAATGACAGCTACCTTTTCTGGACCACAAAAACTTTTACTTGAACACTGAGGAAAAAGAAGTAAAAGAAACTCTATCAAACCTACTTACAATGACCAACCCCACTGAACTCTTAACGGGAATATGGATGTCAACAGTCCAACAAGAACAAAACAAACTTTTTAAAAACTGAATAGTGGATTGCCGTAGGAGATCTGTCTGTAAGATGGTTTGAGTTTGGGACAATTGACTTTTGAAGACCAATTTCTAAGACTTGAAACAAGAAGGGACAAATTCTCGGAGAGAGAACTTAAGTAGGGAATGTGATATTTTCAGGACACAAATTGGCTTCGATTTGGGATGGCCATCTTTAGCTCGGAGTGCCTGTCCGTTTCCAGGGGATACCGTTGCCGAGGAGAGCCATAGCAACGGTCTCCAGGGAGTCTTATCTGTCATTCCTTAGTTGTTTTAGGGACCAAAAGACCAAACATTTTTATTGCTGAGGACTTGTAGCTCTAGTATACTCGGACCACAGCATCTCTTTCAGTCAGTGTTAACTGGTTGGGGAGTTGCACTTAAAAGAAGTGTACATTTCGAATATATACAACACATGTATATATACATATATATTGCTGATATGCTTTTTGAATACAGGCAAAACTATTTCAGATGACCAAATGGGGTCTCTCACTTCGCTAGTTTACAATTACTCAAAATGTTTATTTTTTTCTCTTCTCATTTTGTCTTGGGAGGGATGGCGAGTGCATGGGAGGGGCTGCTCCGTATCACAGCCTTATCTTTTTTAACTTGACATCCTAACCTCATAGATAGAATAACATCAGAAACGTTTGAAATATATGAACTTGTTTATATTTGCAGTACATATATATGTATAACAAGCATTCAAGCAAATGTATTCATATATACAGTATATATGGATAAATAGATATTAATCACAAATATATGTATTTATATGCACATATTTTATATATGTGTGTCTGTATATAGAACGGCTACTGACTACGTTGAGCTGTAATTTTTTGTAGATTTTAGCTGGAGTTTGAAGCATTGCTCTGCTTGGGAAGAATCGCAAATCTGGCAGCTCCCAAAACTGCAGGCATTCCTATCTCTGATTACCTATATGCTGACACACAATATATTGCTAAAAGATACATGTGTGAGAAAACACATATGGTGTAAATAATATCTGAAAAATGCAAAAAGCCACATCTCAGTAGCAGGCTTTAAGAGAATCAGGCTAAATGATTTTAGAGGAAAAGGACAATTATCTTCGACTCTATTCCAAACATATCTTTTGAGCTTACGTACACAAACACACAAACACACACACACACACACACACACACAAACTTCTCTTTGAAACTTGAACCAAAATGAAGACGTCTCAAAACCCTTGCTCTCTTTTGCATTCAGTAAAGTGCATGTAGCGTATGGGCTGTCACCATGTCAAGGTGTGCCTTGTCACCTGCAGAATCTGCCATCAAGCACTGTGCTCTCAGAAAACAAAGAAAAAAAAAAAACTAAACACACACTACAGCAAGCAGCCAACGCGCTATTATGATGTCAAAACTACAGCCAGATCCATATCATTTCTCAGTCGCGTAGAGAGCTTCAGTGCATGTCAAATATAACAAATCGTCCAAACCACTGTTAGTCCATCATTTAAAAAAAAAAAAAAAATGCATTTAGAACAGATGTAGACTCATGCGGATTACACAACAAAAGCGGGCATTAGGTAACCTGTTAGCACAGGTACTAACTATCCAAGCTGTGTGCAGGGCACCTGTGACAACGTTCCACTGGTTGGAGTAAATAAAAAAAATAACAAAAAAAAGGTGAAGTTCAGGGTTGCGAGTGGCACAACGTGGCTCGATAGGGGACGTGACTGAGCTTACTGGACCCAGCATCAGGATTTTAATGGCTGTGAAGGTGATGTATTATTGATGAACACGTTAGAGAGTTTGCCTGACATTGGACAGAAAAAGGGAAAATATGTACCTTCCTATCCGGCAGTTAATGTGTGGATCTCTGCTGGTAATACTTGACATGAAGCATATCCTTTAGAAGATGTTATATTGCCTTATGGTAAACGTTCTCATGCAATTAAATACAAACATAAAACTATAATGAAACTGTAAAATGAAGCAATAAGTGTGAAAAGCCATTTAAACCATTACAACTGCTGTATCACCGAGGCTGGTTTCATATTGCTTTAGCGTACAGTTTCTCATAATAGTCTACAAAAATGGTATGAACACCTACTATACACCTGCAAAAGGTCAACAGACTTGGATTTATTAGACCCTGCACTCAACACATATTGAGCTGGTAGAGATTACTCAATGAATATTTATATATATGAATATTTATAAGGCTATATGACACTTTGGAAGACAATGCTTCCTGTTGGGTGCTGTTACTAGTTTTCCTATAAACTGCTCATTATGCTATTTCCCCAGTGTCTGTGTCTAACCTTTTTAGCAGTTTGAATAATTTAACATTTACCTTCCAAATCCAGCGAGGCTAAAAGACGCCACTACCCATCCCAGGATGCCTCTGTTTGTGTGTGCCACATAACAATCTCCTGAGCACGGCATACAGTGCAAAACCAGATGACCATCACGATCTTTTTTTTTGCTGTGACGGTGTCTGTGGTGGATCAGTACAAAACTTCTTACGCATCCACCTGAACTGTCGCTGTCTAACAATAACATCTGATGCTAAATGTCATGTCTGGCATCCCTGATCGCCACACTGTGTGCCCTTTTTGACTGCCCCGCTGCTCTGAGAAAATTGAAAAGAAAAGAAAAAAAAAAACAGTGTCGACACACTCTCTGCTTTTCTAATGGTTTGTTTGAGCAATTACTCATGTCTTTCACCCATGTTTTCATGTCGAGTGAAATAAGGCGAAGCAGAACGACCATGAGAACTAGAATGCCAAGCACCTCATCTTCATTTGCTCCAACTTTAAGCTGCAAGTTTACATGAGAAAAGCAAAACAAAGTATAGTGGTTCAAAAACAACACGAAACAGAGCAGAAGTTTGAATATAAATATATATATATAAATATATACATAAACCGATGAATATACTGTAAATTGTTTCTTTTTTTGCTCTGTTTTCCTCTGTACATAGGTTTGCATATTTTATAGGACTTTTACTTCTATCTACAAGGACTGGATAAAGTACTTTAAATACTTTAAAAAAAAAATATATGAATGAAAACATGATAATGCTCATTAAAACCAGGTACAAAAAAAAAAAAAAAAAAAAATAGTCGCTAGGATACGGTACAAACTGTAGGACCTGACCAAGGCATTTATCCAGAATACAGTCAGGGAGAGCGTTGACCTCAGTTACAGCTTAGACACACATTGACCTATTTTATAAAAAAAAGAAAAAAAAAATACTTTAATGGGTTCTATTCATTTATCTATTTGTTTAGATATTTATTTATAAGTCATGTCCGAGATGATATGCATGCTTTCATGGCATTATTTTTCTATGAGTTGGTACGTGACCAAATAGTTTTTATATGACATGCATGGGCCACTGTTGTGGTCCACAGATGATCATTGTTCCTGTCTGCAGGACCATGCCTTCAGCACTTCTTTGATGATGGAGAAAAAAAAATGCTCCTATTGACCAAGTGATGTCAAAGACAGATTTATTAACCATTTATTTATTTTATTTATTTATTTATTTGTGTTTATTTATTTGTGCTGTTTGATTCAAGATCTGAGCTCTATTATTGCCACTGATCTGTTTGCTTGTAAGTGCTACTTCGTATCACGGCGTCACATCTTACCACTTGAAGTATCGGAAAAAAACACTGAATTCAACAACTACGAAGACTGATTTTACATTCCTGTGGCTGGCCAACAACTCACAACAATGCAGTACAACACTAAAGCCTTATGTATATTTGTAATTATAAATTCATACTGTTCTGTTCTGAAAAAAAAAGTAAGCTTTGTTAAAAGATTGTTTAAAAAAAAAAAAAAGATGCCAAATTAGCAGAACCTTTCCTTAACTTTGAGTATCATTTGCTTCCATTCTGAAACCTTTAAACAAACTTTTAAAAGGGGGGGGAGGTAATTCCTGGTTAAACTCTCCATCTTAAACCAACTGTTTAATTAGATGTGCATCACGATCGATAGAAGATACGCCTTTAGTTAAATTGCTGCTAATACGTAATGAACTAATGTCTGACCTATTGTTAATAACAGATTAATTGCTGTCAAAAAAAAAAACAAGTTTTGGTTTTTAAAATGTTATTAATCTCCTTCTATTTTCCCATCCTGCTTTGTATTATTGTTTGACAGAGCTCTGATCTTGTTCAACTGATGTGTTCAACAAAGAACAAAATTCAATGAAAACTGCACTATTTCATCAAAAAAAAGAAAAAAAAGCATTCCTATCATTTTTGTTTCAGTGCCGTTATCAGTGATTTTATTTCTAAATCTCAGTAGTGTTGCTAGAATCACATTTTTCTTCATGTGGTTTTCAAAGTATTCTGGAAATCTATTTCCCAATTTCAGCACATATGGAGGGTGGGGAAATGAATGTTGCATATTAAGCTTTGCCAGGTTCCTGATGAGCTAAGCTTCTGATTGGGCAGTGCGCTTTAGGCTCCCGCCCCCGTCTCTCCAGACTGCACCATTCTCTGGTCCCCTGGACTCTTCTTTTGTAATTTTAAATGAATGATGCGTCTCAGCTTAGCCCAATAATAAAGCACAGTCTAGAATAAAGTATGGTGTGTCTTGTCATAATTACTGATAATTTATCAATACAAAAATACCCATGTTTATTGTGTGAATTCAAACTTTGGAACTTGCACTCAGCTGCCATCCACAGTATATCTTAAAAACACACAGTTCCTCAGAATATGTCGGTGTTGGATGTGACATGAAACAACCAGCTATATATCTCCAGTGAAGGATGCATCGTAGTCAGATTCACAATAGACAGTTGTGTATCATGAAATTCAGTCTGCATTTATGCTGTCAAGGTCTTCAGAGATAATCGACAGCTCAGGGTTAAAGATTTCCTGCGGGGGCAACAACTAACCAGAAGGACAACCGATTCTGAATAAATAAGCTTTTATTTGTATTGTTCAAAAACATCACAGTATAACAATAGCACAATCAGCAACATAACATTCGTTCCTATTTCAGAGTGTCATTAGAAAATTAAAGGAAAGACATTTTAAAAAGAGTTAAGACCAAACTGGTGAATGTCAAGTGATTGAGTTCTTTTCTTTTCTTGCTCTTCATTTTCCTCTTTGTCAGCAAATGAAGAAAATATCTTCCAGTATTTGACTTTCTTCCAGATCCTGCTGTGTACTCTGAGGATAAGCCAAACCGGAGCTAAGCAGGGTTCGGCCCACTGATGTGGGGGCAGCGAGGGCAGACCTATGCTGCGACGTCTTGGGTCTTCGCATGGTTGGCTTGCATTGCTCCCGTGCAGAGACGGGACTGAAGATATCCAATAACTCAACCACAGAAAAGTCCGACCTGAAAAAAGTAAAGCTTGTGTTTTGGTTTTTTTGTTGTTCTGATTCAATTTACTTTTGTGTTTTTTTTCCTCCTACATGTGACCTCAGCTCGTTTCAGAGGTTGAATTGACACCGGCTATGTTTATAATACAAAACCCAGTGGAGCCCTGTAGAAGCAATGCTGCAAATGAGCATCCTCGTGCCGTTTCATTGCAGCACAGAGATGCACACAAAGGCCTCCAGTTACACTACGTGCCCTCAAAGTTAAGTCGAGAAGGTGCAAGCCAAGGGACCAACACCAGACATGAACAAGGCTAAAGTCTACTTGGAGCTTAACAGTTTTAGATTTAAATATTTGTCATTCACCTTTTACTTGTTAACACAGACAATATGAAAGCAAAACTCTTTTCCGAGTGTTAACAAAATCTTTCTTGCTGAGGTGCCCACTGAACCCTAACAAGCAGCGTTAACAAGTCAAAACCACTGGGGCGTCCCAGCAGAAAAACACAGTTTCTTGCAGGTGCGAGAGAAAAAGGGGGAGAGAACCCGGTGCTTTCTCCCCTGGAATAGAAATGAGAGAATGTGCAGTGAAATAAATAAACCAAAACGGGGGAGATTAAGCTAATAGAGATTCAATCCCTCAGTCTGGCTGGCTTGATAAATTATTCAGTGTATACACAGTCGAACGATGGCCATTCCAGATACAAAACATGAATTCTTTAAAGCATGCTCGACTGATGTTGCTAACATAATTCTCTGCTCGTTTAAAGTTGCATCGATTTGCATCGCGCGGCTCTGCACACAGCTCTCCCAGGTAAGGACGATCTTTGGGATGTACTTGTTGATATGCATGTGGGTGGTCAGCACACAGACACACTGCTGGAACTTCCAATCAGGGCACATTTGTGTTTCTCCCCACGTAAATATGGACCTTGATATGTCATGTTTTGAAACTAACTTGAGGCAGCACATATCAGTAGCTGAAAAGCTGTAAAAGGCTATATTTTGCTTTAGCAACATGACTAATGTATGCACATGTTTGAGCTTGAGCGAGAGAAAGTGAATGAGGGTCAACTGAGGGATGATAACTGATGGGGGGGAAAAAAAAAAAAAAAAGGAGACTGAAGCTCAAGTAAGTAAATCTGTCTTCCTCATTTGGTCTCCTGCCTGTCAACAGCAAAAGGAAGAAAAGGAGGAGAGAGAGAAAGAGACCGAGAGCATGAGTGAGAACGAGTGTGTGTGTCTGCTTGCACGAGAGAGGCTGGAAATGAGTGCTGCTTTGTGGATAGCGAGGAAGGCAGAGAGGGAATGTGGGGGAGGGACTTTGGCTTGGTTGCTTCACTCGAAATGTGAGAATTTGCATTTTTATTTGTTGATTTATTTAACGGACAGGGCTCTCAAACAGCCATCCATCAACAAACGACATGTTGGTAATGAATAATGCATCACTTACCGGCGGTCACAATCTATAACAAGGGTAGTGTGGGGGGTAGGGGTACAGTTTGGGCAGGAACGGGGAGGGGAGGTGGGGATGGTAGTGGGAGGGGTGAGGGAGGGGAGGTGGCACAGAGATTGCATGAAGGCTAGGGAGAATGCAAATAGATTTTCAGAGGGGTAAAAAGTGCGACAAAGAACTTCATTTCTTGGCTCCAGTTTGCGTGAAGTAAAGTTGTGAATTGCTGCTAGATATTAATATCCCCCAAGAGAGTCCCGGCAAATCTATTTTACTGCTACATGCATACAGAGGAAATGCAAGGAGCGCGGCAGCAGCAACACAAGTTTCTGTCATTGTTAAAATGAAAAAAAAAAATAGAAAAAGTCAAAACCTTTGGGCCTTGAATGTTGGTTCATTTTGAGAGCATCTGGTGTCGTTGTATTAAAACACTTCAATCTTTTCTGCCAGTTACAACAACAATAAGAATGATTAGTGAATATAATACAAAGTAGATTCTGACAATATTTTACCTTGATGTAAAAATGATAAAAGCTCATAAATATTCAGAAACAGCAGGCGAGTACGACTATGCTTTCCAAAAAAATAAAAAAGTTTTTCAAATGCTTTGACCACATATAGAACTGAATCCTTTGAGTATGATGAAAACAGTTTGGCTTCAATCTCCCAATGCACCAATACTGTGCGTCTCCTTTCAAACTCTGAAAGGCCAGATAAAATTTCCACAAACTCTTCAGCAAACGCCACCTTCTTCCCGCTCATAACTTTCACTGCTTATTTGGCTCCCCTCTTTCATTAAAGATAGCCGTCTCGCCCCGGCGCCCCTTTTCATTTGCAGTCCAAACAGTAAGATAAAAAACCTATAATGGCCACTGCGTATATCACGCATGTCAATTTCCCGACCAATCAATAGCAGGCGGGCAATGGCAGGAAGGATGGAGATGAGATGGGCGGGGTGCGCTGGAACTGTGTCTCATTACTAACTAGCACAGGATTCATGAAAGGATTAAGAAGGTCACTTAATGTTAACCCCAGCTTGGTTTTGCAATTTGCACATCAAGATTGAATTGGTTAAGATTAGATGGCCACAAGGGGCATGTTGCTTCCAAGTTAAAGAGATGGCTTCGGGTAACATGGCAAATCTTACATTAGGGCAGACTTTTCTTTACGAAAGGAAGGTTTTTCATTCCATTTAGCTTACATCAGCAAGCACAGCGTTGTTTTTAAATCCTTTTTACACACTGATAATAGTTTTTCCCTTTAAAATTCTTGTTTGAGTACTGGGTGAAGCATTCTGTACCGATTAAAAGCCATTCATCCTCTGAATAACTAAATGGAGGTGTTTTTATAGTTATTCTCCTAATGAATGCGACAATAGCATATCTATTGAACAACAGGGCGCTGAGGACTTATCCTTCAAAGTTTCACACAATGAAATAAATATTTGTGAAACAAATGCCACCATACTTCACATCACTACTAGCTAAAGTCAAGCCACTCTGACAACACTTACAATGCCGACTTGACTGAAAATAATAACAAACGTTGGCGCTTTTACCTTGTTCACCGCAGTAGTTTTTCTTTTCAAACTATTTTTCAATAGCATGCACTGAATTTCAGAACATCAGCAAATGAAAACACATATGTCTAATCCACATCAGTGAATTACCAGAGGATTATAACTATCTGAAGAGATACACATGAGCACACAAAAAAAAATCCACAAAAGACATCTAAGAGGCAGACTTCCTCATTACTGGCATTGGAAAAAAAAAACACAGTATGTAGCTAAGAGTCCAACAATTTTAATAGGCTTTGGAGGTGAAAATGAATGGTAATAAGATCTGATACCCTGGTCCCCTGCTGGAATTAATGGGCATCTGCCAGAGCTCACAGTTCAACTTGGACCAGGCACTGCTTTGTTTAAGAGTTAATCATCGCAAGTTGTAAACTTTGAGCTGTTTTGAAGAACCATCCTTTAAAAGAAGGAGTGGGAAGCTGTCTTACAGCTACTGTGTCTCCGATCAACCATCGCATTTACAAAAGAGTACAGGAAATGTGACATAAAGGAAACGCATTGATCTACTGTTGAAATAATCTTTTTGTTTTTCTTTTGTTGTAGAGTCAAGAAACTCAGTATTTGCTTTTCAGCATCTGGTAATTTGGTTCTGATACAGTGACTAAAAAGTCCTTACACAGTGGCAGGCAAGTGCACACACATGAACAGCAAGACGACACACAGTCAGGTTAATTATGGTTCTGTGAAAGGAGTCCTTTCCTTTTAAGGGAAGTCTGGCACTTACACTCAGTGATTCATTCCTGTCCTCAAAACTCCTCTCCCTTCTTACGTCTTTCTCACCATTTCCATTGGTATCCATCTGGACCTGCTCTAACTTTCCTCGCTTCCCATTTTTCACTTTATCCAATGCTCTTACCCTCAAACACATTTTTAACATCTCTCCCTCACTCTTGCTTACTCTGTCTCATTACTGCAGCAGAGAGAGAAGAGAGGGCAGCGTGTGCATCCAGAAGTCTGTTCAATTACACCTGCTGCAGGATCCCTGCTAGGCCGACTAATGGAACGCAGCATGTCTCCTGACAGGCTGGCCACAGCACTAGCTAGCCCAGTAAAAAGCTTCATTTAGCTTCTCACAGCTCGAAAAGTTAGCTAGACTAAGAAAAGTCATCACTTAGCCACTAACACTGCAGAAACTGCAAGCCCAAGAAACCCTTCAGGATTCTAATTTTATACTTGCATGTGTTGTGTTTTGTATGTATTTCAAAATAGTCAACACCTCTTCAGGAAAAACACAGACTGCCAGAAGAGGTCACAGTGAATAAATAAAATACTGCAAATGATCTCCCCAGTGTCCTTCACAGGACTTTGTTCTTCACCTAGACTTTCTTGTAGTAGATAAGCCCTATTCTGAGGCAAGCTCAGTTTAGAATTTCAAACTAGCACAGATTCATGACATTTTACTGCATCATTCAGGTGCTTAACTGTGCTGTTTTTCATTGTTGCTCAACGAGCAATCTACTCTTTTGCCAGGCACTTAGGCTCCACATAACCAACCACACAGGCTGTTCTTTAGACAGCGAATGTACTATGTTGTCCAGAATGTTTGTTATACCACTACTGTTTATCCAGCATAATAAAGGCAACAGAGCTTACAAAGCACTATAAAGCCTAAATGAAATTAAGAACTATTAGAATAAATGGTAAATGTTTATTAAATGGTTCATTAATGTTCGGTGAGGATGTGTTACCTGGCCTCCGGGGTCTTTGGGATTACAGATGCTGAAGTGGGCTTATTCAGGCCTGCAGGGGACTTTGTTGGAGATGTGGCCATGTCCCTTCTGGATCGTTTTAAGGGATCTGTCGTTAACAAGTAAGCGTTACATCAGTAGCAGAAGCTGAGCGTAATGTAAGGAAGATAGTTATACACAGCATATGAAAGACCTAGAATAAAATACTGTTAGGAGAAAATCAAGCTCTTAACACGGTGTATATATGTTTTAAGATGAAAAGTTCCCTTATGTATACATCAGTCAGAACATAACTTTGATTAATTAAAAATACAAGCTTACCATCGCCAGCGTCCACAGGAGCAGGCACCGTTTGAGAGTGTTTTTCATGCAAGTTCTGTCCTGCAGGATGTGCTTCTGCATCTTCACGCACACTGTAAAAGACCACATACACAATTATGTAGGTGTAGGTGTGTGTGTGTGTGCGTGTGCGTGTGCATATTCGCATGTGCCTGACTAAAGCAGTTTGGCCCTGTTCCAGCCTGGCATTAACATGCATCTTGGGTGATCCCATCACAAGTGGACAGCTCTAAGTATGTCAGTTCACACCTGGCATTAGAATGCGTCTCCACGTGCATCTTGAGTGACCACTTGTGATTGGATTACACTTCCCCGCTCTATATGCAAATAAACACATACATTATTTCCATTTGCAAAGACTAAATGCAATAGTCCTGCATAGGTCCAATTTAGCAAACCTACATCCGCCCATATTCACACAGTTCAGCACTGGAATCAGCCTGTTACCTGCATTTATCTCCGACTCTGGACCTGAGCCATGATGAAACACATGAGCTACTCAGTCACTTACTTTTAAAGTGCTTTATTTGACTTCAGCCTTCTGCAAAATTACTGGCTGATAATAGCAACAGGTATCTGACCTAGAGCAGAGACCGGTAGTATGAATCAGATTCAGCATACCCAGCGTATCTTTTTGTTATCTGACTTCACTAAAACTAAACCTGGTTATGAACTTGGTAAGTCAATGCAGGGTTTTTAAATCAGGCTGAGAGCGAGTTTACATCTAAGAGGTAGAGTTCCAGATCACCAATCACAAACATGGTGTGTGAATGCGTAATGAGTATGCTTATTATTATCACTGTCCTATTGTGTATAAGGTGCTTGGATGTAAGTTTGTTATTTACGATTCTGTTCAATTTTCATTATGCATCACAAAATGGTAAAATAAACTTACAAATGTGGTCCCTTTATGCCACTCACAAAAAAGACAAATTATTTAACAAATAACTAATCAAGAAATAAAACTATTTTAATGGTAAAATGGAGAATGAATTCAGTATTCTTACATTCGCTCTCATCATTATGGCATGTAAGGAAGTTTTTGCTACAGTCTTTCAGCTGACTGGCAAACAAACAGTTGTGGGAGCAAGTAAAGAACAAATGCATAAACATCTTTGAAACTGAAAAGTAGGCGTATTGCAAATCTGATAGGGTCAACATGTACAAGGCTTTAGTGTTTTAATCAGTTTCTGTTTCAGGATTATATTGATCTAAAAAGGCATAAAGAACAGTGAAATCGCTTTGAAATCGCCTGTAGCTCTTAAAACTCCTAACTTCCCCTCTCACAGTCTGCGTACTGAGCTCCTTGGGCTCTTCAAGAAATGGTGATGCTCCTTTCCAAGAGACTTGATTGGTCAGGAGGTGTCTTAATGCATGTTGATCCGTTACTTGAAACATAACCTGTTCCAGTGCAGGTCCGGTTTTCAGCATAAATTACCATCTGTTATCAAAGTAGTACTAAAAACCACGATTAAACATAAAGTTACCTCGTTAACCTCAAATCCTCCTCAGTAGTACAGGCCCTCTGCCAAATGCAGTGTTGTTTTTCATCAGCGGGAGGCACATTAGTTGAACAGACAGTCCTTCAGTGTGGCCCAGGACACATTCGTGCACAAGGCTAAAAGAACGAGGCCATATGTGGTCCTAATTATCAGAGCGATCAGATTTCACTCCATTCTCAAATCTTCCTGGGTGCTTTCATACTAGGGTTTAATGATTTGAAGAAAACATCAAACGGTGACATAATTTTTTAATTAAATATTCACTGTTTAATAGAATTAAAATAAGGGATGAAGCATTAACTCATGAGAGACCATCAAGTTGACTGGTGACTGACATGGAGGGTGGCATGAGTTTGTAAAACTACTAAGACGACAGTTTTGATACAGTATTTTCTAAAATGCAGACTTTGCAATTTGCTAATTGCATTGTTTTGAATCACCCTATTTTTTTTTAGCCATATTTCAAACCTGTACTTTTTTTGGGATGACCCAAGACACATGTTAATGCCAAGTAAGAAAAGGACCTTTGTCTTTCTGTCTACTGGTGTTTGGTGGTTTACCTGGAGGGTAAATCTTGGTAGGTGGAACCCTGTGGCTCTGTATCTCCATTCCTAATGTTTGAGCTGCTGACCTCAGCTTGAGTAGCTTGCTTAAACCTAACAAATTTACAGAAGAGAAAGAGAAATAAAATGAGTTTTACCAATCTACAATAACAGACACTGAAGAAGTACACAGAAACAAGAGACTGACCATAGGCAGGTAATTAATTCTGAACTACCCATCAACTGATGCCCCCAAATCCTAACAGTCACCAGATATGGGTCATTTCTCTATGGTTTCTGTACTCTACCTGCTGTAATCAAGACGTGACTGGCGTAGCTGCTGGTTCTGTCTATTGAGCCGCTCCTCCTGCTCAGTCAGCCGTGCCTGCAGCCTCTCTCGCTCCATCTCCAACTGTATCTTCTGCAGCAGAAGCTGGTGCCTCTTCTCCTCCCAGTCCTCATGACCCAGCAGAGGCCTGGATAGGGCTTCCTTAGCCTCTGAACACATGGTATTCTCACTCTGCAGCCTGTGTGTAAACACAGGTTCCATACTTAATATCCATGCTCAACATTCTTCTTGTTTTTGTCTTAACCACATTCAGAATCTTACAAAAACTCAGAACACACACAACAGTGATGTAATCATGTGAAATGATAAATAATGACTATATGGGGAACAAACGTACCTTTCACAGGCCTCTTGGGTAAAGTTGTCATGGTGGCCGTTTACTAGATGAGAGATGTTGTTACTTCTCCATTGCTGTGTTCCATAGCCAGTGTCATGACCACTGCACTGGCAGTGCTCACATTTATGGCATGAGTGTGGCTCCCTGCACTCCCAATTTTGACTCATCTGCTGTTTGATCGGCCCACCAGCTAGACTTAATTCATCAACACAGGAAAGAGAGGCGGGGTTTCTAAAAGCTCTTACTGTTCTTTCTCTTCCATCACCACTCCTGTACACTTGAGGTGGCTGTGGTCCGGTAGCAGCCAGGCTGAGGTATGAGCCATCAAAGAGTGAGCCATTAGCTCTGCTTGTAGATGTCCTGCTGGGGGCCTCCTCGCTACTGAGCACCTGGACAGAGAACAAAGAGGACAATAAATGCATTTTGGCCAATTCAGAAGGCCTCTGAAAAACTGATGGAGTTTTTCAGCCAAAAACATTAGACAGTTCCATAAAACTTTAATTTAGAGCTGAGGCACAAACTGAAATTTACCAATACTGAATTAGGACTCACTTACCAACCTAATTTGCTCATGTTGCTATGCACGGTAAGAGCTCCCCATTTGCTTGGAAGAGCCACTGCAAGAGTTCATGTTTTACATGCACTTTAAGTGGGTTGCTGCAACTCAAAGCATCTTTTTTTTCTGTTTCCTTTTATTTTGTGCAGATAAGTACAATGACTATGCATTGAGCTCCAGCAGCAAACAGCAGTACCTGAACGCATCCTGTGTGGACACTGATAAAGGACTCAAGCTGCTGTTGTGGTAACGTCTTGCTTTCACTACGGAGCTTGTACAGACATGGCGTTAGTGGAGAGCTGAGCTTTATAGCAGCATAAATGCAAATCATCCTTCAAAACCGTAAACTGGACAGTGGCCACAGGATTAAGAGGACAATTTTCAACTGAGCATAAGTGGCAGGTAAGCCAAGGTCAGGAATATTATGAGATAAACATAAGGAGGAAAGCCCATCTTATAGTTGACTGGGGAAGAGACTGTGACTAATTTACTGAGGGTCAGAGAGCAGGCAAACACACATAATTCAGAGCCACTGCGGGACAATGAGGTTAGCCAAGTCATCTATTCTTGCAGAGGCTGAAGCCAAAGAGGCGTCTTCGCTTCTAAAGTGTCACCTTGAGAGAGTTTTCACTATGTTGTAGTCATATCGAACTAGTGACTGAAGTGGACTATAGTGATTTGTTATGAATTATTATGGCACTTGGCCATGGGACAATGTGCTGTTGCATGTATTTCCACTGGATGTTTTTGTGCCTGGGTGCGTGACGGATGGCAAACAGGGCTCCTCACTGAAAGTGGCTCCCATAGGAGCATAGCCATCACTTTTACTATATATTTTCCATGTGCACTGGCTGCGACAACAGTAATTGTGTGTACAACCTACCATATACCAATTCTATCCCATTCCTTACCTTGCTGTGGGTTGGTGGCTGGGTGAGCTGGGCAATGGACTGGTTGAGTTTGGCCTGTTGCTGAGAAAGATATTGTTGGTAGAGTCCAAGCAGTTCCTGGCACTCTCTGTACTGCTGCTGCAGGCCTGGGTGACCATGGGTTAAGTAACAAACAAAGTAAAACAATAGCTAAACTGAAATAACATAACCTTTAGCCTACATCATAACCTCTGCCCTAGATTCAGCTGAAAAAAGTAGACCGTGGGTCTTGAAAAACTATAGCTGAAAGAAATGATGGCTCAAAAATTTTGGTGAAATAGGAAATTGTTTTCATTTTTACATTGTAAAACTATCACAAATGAAATACACCCACATAAACTCTGAAGGTGAAATCCCTGTGTAGTTTCACTACAAAGGTATATTTGTGCAGTAATTTTAGTAAGATAAGGGAAAGGTTCTCTTGTGCAATTTAAATGGGAAAAAAAGATAGATGATAGATTTAGATTGACAATCTGAATTAAAACCTTGTCTCTGCAATCAATTACACATTGGACCAGAAAAGCAGAGAGAATAGCAAGACTGAAAACAGAGAGGGAGATGAGTCCAGCAAAATCAAAGTTGTTGTTGTGGCACAGAGCTTTCACCATCTGGGTCGGGCCAAGCTGTGTTGAGCTGAGCTGGGCAGTGCCATGCCAGGCTATCTGCCAGACAGAGAGCTGGCAGCGACAAGAAAACTAATCTGGAGCGGGACTACTGCTGCGCCTCAGGAGCCCACTAATGACAGTGGCAGCACCACATCACACCAGCACATACAAAGATAATGAGCATGAGAATGGAGGGACACACTCACACACATTCAATAATCAACCTCGGTCTGACTTTCTAGTACACACACAAAAACAGCAAGACATGAGAGTGCAAATTCCCAACCTGCACTGTAAACAGCCCACACATAAACACTACAATAAAGCAAGTAGTACACACACTCCCACCCAAGCTGACCATAAAGTGTGTTCCTCCAGGCCATATCTTTTTATGATGGTGTCCCTGCTCCCCCAGCTGATGAGTTTCTCAGCATCCATTTGAAAAAGAGCCCCCATTTTAAAGAGAAAATCAAAGTTCAAAGTAGAGTCTTATTGAAGGAATAGTTGGCGGAACACTCCATAAGAAAACACTTTGGTTGTTAGAAGACTTCAATCAGGCTGTGGAAATGAAACAGAGGGAAAGAGAAGAGAGCGGGGACGACTTTGAATTGAGGACCAGACACCAGACAAATGCAATGCAGCAGCTTCCATAAACACTGGGAAAATGTGCGGAAACACTTTGATTGAACCCTCCGTCTAACTAAGGCTCCTCTGCCGCTGCACTGATGTCCATGGAAGTAGTTCTATATGGAAAACTTAAGGACATCACAAGGACATCACATCATGTAAACCTGTGCAGAGATGCCCCTATTTATGCAGCATGAATAAGGGTCTTATGGGGGAGATACTCATACGGCTACACTTCACCTCCATCCAAGATAGAGAGTGGTGTTTGTCAAAAAATGCATACTGCCGCTCATATTTCAACAAATTCGCATAAAATGCTATTTCCACATAATCTCTTGTGCCTAAAACAATAGACATACAGACACAGCACAGTCTACTGGAATCAAGCCCCAATACAAATCGGGTGTGGTGGTGGGGGGGCCACACACAAATACTGACTATCTGTGCCATAGAACCGACCAGTCTGCAGCATCATAGCATCCTGATGCATAAATGAAGGTATCGTGTTAATGTGTTGAGAGGGTGACGCAGTCCCTGGACAGCAAGCGCTAGGTAATCTGAACCGAGTGGAACAACACTGATAAGATTCCACCTCTCAGCCAGTCGCTACACTAAACATGCTTTCTCCACAGCCTTGGACATCAGCCAATGGGGGCCAAGCACTCTGCAAGCCCCTAGTTTACATCAGAGCTGCAAAGTGCCAACAATGACTTACTCCTCCCCCTGCTCCAAAAATACTCAGAATCAAGGGCTTGGGTTGAAGAGGCTTCAGACGGGGCCTGTCAAAATGATTCACTTCCCTGTCAGGCCGAGGCTCAAATGAAATAATGAAATCCACTTCAAGGTGGAACAAATTTGCACAGGAGGGGGGAATATTTTAAAGCCTGCTTTAGCACACTGTGCCAAACAGATTGAGCCTGAGCAGGAATGTGAGAGGAACGGGGGCGGAGACTGATGTGTGAATGTGTGTGAGTGTATGAATGTGTGTAAAGGAGAAATGGCGGGGAATTAATAGAAGAAGACGGTTTACATAACTGCCTCAATACTACTGAATGTGAAGAAGAGACATGAGTGCAAGTCCCACAATAAACCAATAAATAACTCTGCACATCAGCTAACAATTACGTTGAAAAGGGCTTCCAGGAGCAAACTGTAGGAAAACTATTGTTATCAAAAACCTTCTCAGCCATCTTCATAATCCATTGATCACAACTAACACTAGCTTTGAGGCACGGACTATAAGCTGTATCTCTCTAAATCATTAGTTATGACATGTATGCAAACAATCTTGTGTCTGTGAAATCTGTCAGTTGTTCACCTAGCAAGGTTAGACAAGCCCACAATTCACAAATTCAAAAATCCATATAATTCATAGGAACACAATAAGTAGCTCAATCCAATTTTGTTCATTTTAGCAAAGATGAAATGTATTATGCACAAGTCAGGTCCTGGGTTCGAATCTCCGCCTGGGGTCTTTCTGTGTGGAGTTTGCGGGTTCTCCGGCTTCCTTCCACAGTCCAAAGACATGTTGAGGTTAATTGGTGATTCTAAATTGTCCGTAGGTGTGAATGTGAGTGTGCTTGGTTGTCTGTCTCTCTGTGTAACCCTACGATGGACTGGTGACCTGTCCAAGGTGTACCCTGCCCCGGCTCCAGCCCCAGCCCCAGCCCCAGCCCCCCTCGACCCCACAGAGGATAGAGTGTATAGACAATGAATGGATGGATGGATGGATGAATGGATATTTCACAATAAGCCCACAGTTGGTTCAGTTCAATTATAAATACTCAGTTAAGCAGAATGTTCAACATACACCAAGACCAAGTTTTAGTCTCTGATGACAGCAGATTATTGTTTTAATATTTTTCTACAACACCATCATAGAAACAGACTTACTACTATTTGTCAGAAAGAACTGCTTTAAAAAGGGTACTCAGTTCAAATGTCAATGTCCACAGATAATGCTGTGGGCATTATCTGTCCAGTAGCAAGTATATGGTTTAAACTTCTAAACTCATCACAAGTACATAAGGTAAGACACAGAACACCAAGACCAGATATAATCAACACTCACAATGATCTTACAACTCCAAAAGCAATCTTCTGATGTATGCTTATCACAAACAGCACATTGGATAGAAACAGATTTCTACACTGTAAATGTCATACATTCAAAACTTGGAAAAGTAAAAAATGGATTTAGCTCTGGTAGTCCTCTATCACAGCATTAGCATTTTCCAATTGCATGTAACAGGGCTGTTATGTCCCTCTCTCCATGGCCTCAGGATTCTGTCCAATTGTTTCAACTCAGTAAGTGGCATTAGCTGCAGCACCTGCTGTGCTTTGTTGTGGATACAGCAAGTAGAACAGTGTACCATGTTAGTAACGCCACCTTGACTTCTGCCCATGCCAACATGCCTTGAAGTACAAAAGACGCCCTTCCTATCTCAAACACAAATTCAGTCCTGTATGCCAGTCAGTTCCAAATGTCAGCTGAGCATCCCAAATATCAAGGGTACTTTTCGCTCTCATCCTAGGTGGCTTGGGGCTAAGGTATAGCCCTACATTCTTTATGCCCCTGACAACCCTGAATCTTGGTTAGATAAGATAAGCTGAGGTATAATGGAATTAGACTTGACAAGACTCTCATTCAGTGTGTTTGCCTTTGGTGTCTCCTTAACCTTTCGGAGAAGTGCCGGAACCTTCTGCCTGAGAAGAGCCTTCATGACTCTTGCACACACTTTAAAAGACTACGTTATCCCCCCTGAGGTGCTTGGATCCGAACACTTTTTCCTCTCAAATACCTTTTTAATGGAGTTTAGAAGTTTGGTGTAAATGCCAAGTCTCCAAGCCAAAGTGCCTTTAATTGAGTTGTGCTTTCCTAATTTTCCCCGCCGCCGTTGCCAATCGTGCAATTTACCAGCCGGGTCAATTACTCTTCATATTTCGCAGTGTTTTTAACCTAAATTGACTGCTGGCCATGCTCAGCACTGACCTGAGCAGAATTGTTATGAAGACAGTAGGTGGGTTGCAGAGTTATAACTCTAGCACTAACGTAATGTTAGAACATCAAAAATCAGCTGATGATCCATCTGATCTCGTTTCTCACAGGAGGAACTGAGAAACATTCTATACTTTTCATTCAAAATTCAGTAAGGGTTAGAAAAATACATGGCAAAAGAAAACGCCTTAGTCTTCTCAGTAAATCTCAAAATTCATCTTCAGATGATAAGATGAATTAGATGGTTTGGGCCACGGCTCCAACCATGAAATTGATTCTGTACACAACAGCGGATAAGCTACAAGCACTTGCAAAAGACAACTGCAGCAAGCATCAAATAATTTAAATGCATCTGCTCTATTTCTCTGCCTTTTGTATCAGATTGAAGGGTCTTGCCCAAAGGCTGTGAATGGCCTTACCTAAGACAACACTGCCCCCTGCAGACATACTGTCAGAACAGCATATGCAGCAATGGAACCATACAGTCAGTAACTTATGCACTTTAACATCTTACAGGAAAAGATCACCATGTGGCACAAAATGCGGACAACAAAATTAAATTCCAACCAAAGGCCAAAAAATTGCACAATTTTAAAAAAATAAATTCATTAAAAAGCCATACCCATACTCAGATTTTAGGACCATTATTCCACTTCAGTTCCTCTCATCATGCAGTTTTAGTATTCAATACTAAAACATCATGGAAACTCTGTTCCAACCATCATACCTTGGAATTATGATGGGACTACTGCTTTCATGATAGAAAATTTTGCAAAAGCCTTTGCATGCCAAGACACGATTGTCTGTGAAACAGCAATCAACACACCAAGTTGCATAATAAACATCAATAAACAAAATAAAGCACTTTGACGTTTTCTCAGACACAAAGTGATTTTAAACACATCAACATAAACACATTCTTTCAATGGTCAACCATAAACCCACACAGCACATTAATAACCTTGTGGTTTCATCAAAAAATGCTAAATTCAACAAATCACCTCAAATCAACTAATGCACAAAGCAGAGTCTGTCTCACTGCAGCATTTTTGGTATGTATATTTTGAAAGGATACTCTCTCTCTCCTGTGCTATCATCAGATTCTGTTGCTCCAGCTGCTGGATCTTTCGTTCAAAATTTCCCTGTTCATCTTTCAGGCGCTGCACGGACTCCTCTTTCTCCTCGCTAACCCTGCGAAACAGAAAATAATTTAAAAGGTAAAGGAAAAGTCTAGTTAATGCATTCAAAGAGCACAAAGGAATACATGAGTCAAAAATGAAACTAATTCAGTGTCACTACCTCGCAAGTTCTTCAATGAGGTTTGCAATTCGGCGTTTATCTTCTGGACAGAGGTCTTTCAAACACACCTCGCTCTTCGCTCTGCTGGTGTCGCAGATTACCTGTGTGAAGAATAGGTAACAAGCATACAGATTTGTTAGGAGTAAAATATTGTCATTTACTGTACTATACCAAAAATTCAATGGGAGGAAGACAAAAAAACAGTCTACACAAAACACCGGTTTACCTGTGACAAGGGGAGAAATGTGCCAGAGGGCGGGGAAATGGTCTGCTCAGCGGTCACAGCAGCAGTGTGGCAGGCTGACACTTTTTCCTTAATATAAGACCCAGAGAGAGCGCTCTGTGAGTGGCCCTGCATTTTGCCTCTTCTCTTTTGTGTCACCTGATTTTTACAGTCAGAGGCACTCTTTATTTGCATTTTGGAGCCTCTTTTATTGGATGTACTGGTGCTGCCTTGTCCCAAATTGAAAGGGGTCCGAGTCTTCACCTCTCCATCCACTCCTGAGACAGTTTGTTGGAAGACACAATAAGAGGATGCAACTGGACATTAGATATATACAATTCTTTCAGAGAGTGTTTAGAAATTGTGTAAATAGTAGCACAACGACTCACCAGGAGCAAACACCAAGGGATGTTCTTCATCTGATCCTTTGTGAACGAGGCAGAGAGAAGACATGGACGTAAGTTCACGTTCAATCAAATGTAGCTAAAGCTGGTAAAGCATGTGCTTGTTTTTCCGAGAAAACAACAATTTTACGTTAGCAAGGAATGAAAGAGCTAGCTTTCTACAGATGATACTCTTTAAATTGTGTTGATTTGAGCAGCATTAGTTAAGCTAACAACCCTGACTGGCAATGAAAGTCCGCAAAAAACAAAAAAAAAACTCGTGCAATACAAGTTTCAACGTAAAACATGTAACATTAATGTAACTTCAACGAGGTAGTTAGTTAAGTAGTCTTTGACGATATGTAGTTAGCTAAAAAGCTGTCCCACTTCCTCCAAGACAACAACTTTCCACAGACTCTTTCGAAAAGTTTTACATCTTTCTACACGCTTTATATAGACGACAACAGGTCAAGAAACGTAATGGAATTCAGTAAATGTAATTTACCGCCATTCATCCAAAATATTCCCGAACTGCCACTTCTTTTCGCTGCTGCCGCCATGTTGAAACAACCGCCACCACTCCCAGAGAGCCAAGCGTTGCTTAGGAATAAAAGCCCCGCCTTTCTCTTGCAGCGGAAGAGTCGATTGGTTGTGCCGGAGAAACGCGGCTTCCTATTGGCTCAAACGTGCGTCCATAATGCGTCAAACTGCACTTCGCTTCCTGTGCGTATGTTGTGAAACTGAGCTCGTAAACGATGCACTGCAGACACCTGCAGATGATGTATCCAGTGTTTTGTACAAATTTGTGATTCCCGAACTAGAAATGGACGAGAACAAAGATAGCTTAGCGTTTAAAGGTGTTGCCGAGAGACTCACACTTGGCATTACTCGTATACTCGGTGTGTATTACGGCAAGTGCATTGAAACTAGCAGCTAACATTCAGGTTAGCTAGCAAAGCATAATTATGTATTAATTAATACTTGTGTTAAATTTATTAGCTTGTCTTTGTTGTTTCAGAGAACATGCCTGGTGTGGTCGACGTGCGTTTTGCAGAGAGGGAGCCTGCAGAAAAGAGGAGCCTGCTGTCATGGGAACAGGTGCAAAAATTAGCCTTACAGATGTCTTCTTTTTTTTCTTTTTTTTTTGATCTGGCAGTACACTGTTGTCTCATTTATGGACCTGCTTTATGTATCCTCAGAAAAACACGTGTATTTTGCCAGAGGACCTGAGGGATTTCTATCTGACAACTGATGGATTTACACTCACCTGGAATGTGAAACTAGACAGTAGGTGTCTTCATGCTCTGTCAGTATTCATAGCAATCTCACAAAAGTCCACCTTTATTCAAAGATATTACTGACATAAAGTGACACTGTTAAATGCTAATAACTCTGGAAGTTTTTCAGGTCTTTGACACGATTCTGTGTGTTTTTTTCCCTCTCTTCCAGATGAGTGTGTCCCCTTAGGATGCATGATGATTAACAGTGTGGCCAGGCTCTGCCCGCTGCTCCAACCAGTGTCGCTTTTCTCCCTCCCCAATGCACCCTCACTGGCTGACCTGGACTGGGAGGAGAGCAGCACAGAAAGAGGTAAAATGCACCTGTCAGAGCCTCATGTGGGCTTAACTCAACAATTACAACATGTCAAGTTCAATTATGTCTGTTTATGTGTGCTCACTTGTGCAGAAAGCAGGCTAATGAATGAACTGTTGATTGGACAGTAAATATTTACTCAAGATTCATTAATGCTATCTGTCAGGGTTGGAGCATGCGCCCGCTGCACCCCATTTTGATTCTCGGAGTCGCATCTTCGAGCTGGATTCCTGTGGAGGGAATGGCAAAGTGTGCTTGGTCTATAAAAACTGCACTCCAGGTGTTCTGCTTATATTTACATATTGTACCTTTTACGTATTCCCTAAGCAAAGTTGTTGTCTTTAAAAAGGTTATGAAGAAATGAATATATTATCTGCCCATGTTAAAGTAAAAGTTGTGTCATTTAGATGTTGATTTTGTTATTTTCCAGGTGTGGTGGCCCAGCAGAGTGAAATCTGGTTCCTAGACCGCTCACTGTGCTGGCATTTTCTGACAGCAACTTTTACCTCCTACTACCGACTGATGATAACCCACCTGGGTCTGCCTGAGTGGCAGTATGCCTTCACCCCATATGGTCCAAGTCCCCAGGCTAAGGTAGCAAAGGGCTTACTGTCTAATCAGTCTTTTAAAACCATGTCATTTAATTGGCATCTGTAATATTCAGCAATAATATTAACAACACTTTGGACCATTGTAGTTATACAAAATAAAATTTATTCACTATGTTCCCTTGACAACATACTACAGTTTTGGCTGATTTAACACTTTAACAAGTTGACACAGCTCTGAGTTTTAAGACAGTTACACAAAGCATAAAAGTGTTTTACTTCAGCTGAAATACTGTGGGTGTCTTGTCATTATCACCTTTTTAAAGTCTTTTTACTTGTATGCATATAAAGCCACAATTTCCCGAGAATGAAAACTGCATTGCTGGAAAATTTAGCAACGGAAGAACAAGAATTTCTTTTACTTTCTTTGTAGCGTCCCTCTGTTATACACATTTTGTAATGCACATGTTTCATTGTCTACATAACTACATAGATTATTTTAAACTGTCAATATTCTGGTTTCTTCTGCAGCAATGGGCATCCCTCTACCAGCCCCTGACCTTCAGCTGTGAACTCAGCCTGGGAGATCCTGCTGGAGATTCCTATCTCAACAAGCTGGATCCTACAAAGGCCTTCAAAGGCAAATCAAAGGCACCAGCCCCCAAGAAGAAGCAGTCGGCACAGTGCGGCCCAGGGGGCACCGCCAAGGGCCAAGGCAACACAGGAAGACACAGTGGAGCAAAGCGGTGAGAAGGTTCGCATCGAGGAAAGACTTTTCAGTCAGCCTTGTTGTCTGTATGATCAACGTGGCTTAGAAGAGCAGTCTGCAATTCCTTCATTGACGGGACTGGGTGTGTTAGCAGCTCTATGCAATGTGACAGCATGTTGTCCAAAAACGAAGTTGCATGTCTGAAGAGATGCTTAACCAGGGTTTTTGCTGGTTCAACACCTGGCTAAGGTAGTCCTTATCTGATACAGGGAATGTTGAGTGTGGTGGAAAAGTTAGTGTTTGAATCACCAGCTAGTTGCATCAGCACCAGACACAACACTCACAGACAAATTTCTTTCATGTTCACTATTGACACCTCCTGGTAAAAAGTAATTTAAAACAGTCAATTCAGAAAATAGAATCATACACTGCTGTAATAGTGAAATGAAATGAAAAATACTTTATTTATCCCAGAAGGGAAATTCAATCTATATAGTGCATATAATACTGACATATAGTGTCAAGTCATGCCCCTGCTGCTACCAAGAAGGACATTATCCATTTATAACTGCAGTTACTATCACTGGGCTTTATTTGTTGCTAATTTTTGACTGTATTATACAACAATAATATATTTATCAAATATGTAAAATTCTTAAGAAAGTTGTAAATTAGTAGGTAGCACATTTCTATATGTTAAAGCGTCAGTAACTGAAAGTAATACTGTAGGTTTCAGCCTGTATGACTGAAGAGTATCAGTGTCATTTTCAAACTGAAAATTAAATCATCATATGATTGTACAGGTAGAAACTGATCGCACGATTTACCAGAAATGTTCAAGCCGCAATACCAAGCGTCAGTGGGAAGAACCGTATGAACTCTCTGAGCTTCAGTATCGAACTTTACATCACTAATGTGTGGATGCAAACCTGAGGCATGAAATGTTACAATGTCAAAGACTGGCAATAAACTAAGAAAATAGGCGTCAGTAATCTGTGTTACCCACTGGCCATTGTATGACTGCGGTGCTTCTCACATGGTGTGCTTAAATATAAACTTCACAAAGGTGAAAAGCTGCATTAGAGTTTAGGACCGTTGCTCTTTTGAATAACAACAGTCACTATGAATATTCCACATTAATGAACTCATGTAAAAAGGTTATATTTTGGCATTTTTGTCCATCGCCATACATTTATGTCTCTTGATGCCAGATGTGTAATGCTACACAGACCTGATAGAACGTCTAGGATTAAATTTTTTGTGTAAGTACTCTGGAGAAAAGATGTATACTTTTTTTTTTTGTCTTTTTGGCTGCTGTGCACTGGCTTGGTGGAAAGACAAATATGTGCATTATCTTTGGTCGAGCTGCTGCCCTTTCAAGCTGTGGGAAGCTAGCTCCTACTGTTTCTATTTAACTTTCAAAAAGACACATGTTTTTTTAAAGCAATGTATTAGCACTGTTTATTTCTCTTTACATACTCTGAGGTTTCTACGACCACAGAAGTGGTCCCCTGTTGATTGTTATATTGAATGATATTCATGGTGTCTTCCAAGGTTGCATCAGCTGCTATTGCCTCAACAATATAAACGCAAAATATAAGCCAGTTTCTGTGTTTCTGTCCATCCTTCATTTAAGAAATTGCCCTAGCTTTGTTTTGGACACTTTTCTTTTAAACAAGCACAGGGAGGAACAAAGAGACAAAAGTCTCTCAGTTTGATGAGTCAAAATGTCTATTAGTGTATACTTTAGTGTATGTATTGAAATCTCTCAATTATACTACTTCTAGTAGAGTAAAGCTAGTATATATGTTGTGTGGGAGACAGACTGATTATTTTAGATTTGAAAATAAAACCTTATCAGAGCCAGTCTCCCTTTTTGTAAACATGCTTCGCTCCCCACCTAAGCACTAACTTCTGGTCTTTCAACCCTTCGTCGACGTGGAATGTTTTAACTGCATACAAATGTCCACATGGCTACACATGCAATTAATTGTTTGCGTAGCTGGGGATGTCACACACATACATTAGCACAGATGTTTTGGTCTTTCTCCAGAGGGATGGACTCCTCTGCTGACCCCCCATCTTGTTCAGAGAGGGGTGGGTGGTGCAGTTCCACGAAGACTTTGTATATCCCTGCTCCCAGTACTCCTCCAATGGGGGTAGCAACCAGAGGCACCCACCACCACCCATTTCCAGCCCTACACAGATATAGACAGAAAACAACAAACATGACCAAGAAAAAGAGGGATAGGTCAAAAAGCAAATAAGGTGCTTCCATGTATTTAATAATTAACAGAGTTTTTTTTGCCCTTGGCTGACCTATAGTTAAAGTGACATGTTGCAACAGGGAACCTTTGACAAAAAAAAAAAACAATACACCCTGCCTGTTTACCTGAACACATCAGTTCCCCAGCCTGCTATGGCAGTAAAGACCCTGGGTGCAATGTCTCTGGTAGGGTTGATAGCATAGCCGCTGTTGCTGCCCAGAGAAATGCCAATGAGTATCACCAGGAGACCCACCGCAGCAGGCTCACTGCCCGCTGCAGCTGGTTTGTTCTTCTGGTCAGATAGAGCCATGAGGCCCAGCAGCAGCATCGCTGTGCCAAACACCTGACACACAGCACAGACATCAATGTAGAAACAAGATAACCATGTGTAAAACACTACAACAAAGAAAAGGGTTAACACAGAATGTGTCAGATGATAGTGATTCGTAGCTGTAATCCTTTAATCCAGTTTCATGGCTACCTGGTCAAAAAATCCAGCCATCAAGGAGAGGTATGGTGCAGGATAGGTGGCAAAGATACCAGCTGTGGCCCTCGCACCAGTTACAGTCAGGTTTCCTCCACAATAGTCATGAATGGCCTCTGCAGATGAAAACAATATTGATATAGCAAACATGTATGACTGAAAATAAAGATACAGGCATTAAGTGCTCTGTCTATTTGAGTATGTACAGTCGTGTATCCTCACCATAGTAGATGCCATAAATCGTCCCTGCTGCCAGAAATGACCCCAATAGTTGTGCAAAAATGTACAAGGGTAACATTTTCCATGAAAGGCGGCCAAACACACACATTGTAAATGACACTGCTCCATTCATATGAGCCCCTGACAAAAAAACAAACAAAAAAAAGCATGAGAAATATGTCAGCTCAACAACAATTGGAAAACTGTCTACAATATTTATAAGAATCAGCTCTAATACCTGAGACCTTCCCTCCAACATGAACACCCATAGCAACACCGAGTCCAAAACCCACGTTGATGCTTAAGTACTGTCCAAACGCTCCCTGTCCGGTCACTACCTGGGCCACAGACCCCAGACCAAACGCCTGGACACAGAGGACCCAGAATTTACAAGAACAGTCACAAATGGTGATTTTACAGACAAGTAAATTACAAGGGAAATGTTCCAGACAGTTAAAAAGGATATCTGAACCAGCAAAAAAAAGAGAGAGAGAGAGAGAGAGAGAGAGAATAGTAACATTCTGGGTCATTTCAGGTCATTGTGAAGAAGTTAAAAGGTAAGTGAAGAATTACTGTTCTGTTTGAAAAAAAATTAACCACAGTGCTGTTTATAAGAGAGATTTAACTTGAGCATGTCCTCACTTGTCTTTTGACTTTTAACAAGACTGAGGGCTCATAGGAAAACAAAAAAAAGCTGACACTACAAAGCCAGTCATTAATTCCGGAAAGGAAAAGTGTGGTTCTTCCTCAAAAAGTCACGAGTATTTGCAGTAGGTAAAGAGTGAGTCTGGTTTCCCAGTAACAAGCACAGCAGATCTTAATATAAAATACAATACAACTGTGTGTACGCTCCCATGCTTATCTACACGCTGTGGTAACTATGTCTTCATTGTGCGTGTGTGTGTGTGCATATTCTCCAGGGTTCTCAGCAAAGGGTTTATTGTAACAGCTGACAGATAACATGTGACTTTTGAAACCCTCTCCATGTGGCCCGCTGCCTGACCATTCCTCTAGTAACACTACACTTCCTGGTTCACCCACTGACACCCACCAATCCCCAACCACAACCCCCGCCATGTGACTCTGGAAAGGGCTTGTGTGGGGGTGTGTGTATTTTTGGGGAAGGTTATCAGGATAAAGAGCAGCGCATTAATAATTAATGGGGTATGGTTGTTACAGATAAGCAGCTATTAACGTTTAAAACAGAAATAAGAGCTCCTAAATGGAAAGTGTCAACAGGATGATGGATTTAAGAGGCAGTTTGAAATTGATTACAGTTAGTTCGGTGAAAGCACAGAACACTATAGATGTCTTCTGTAGTGAATCTTTTCTTACCATCATGACATACGTGCAAAGAGATTCAGCAAGTCCCACACGAACAAGTTCATTCTTTAGCCAAACTTTGGGTCGAGTTACATTTGCTCCCCTCCGCTGAGAGACCCCCAGTTCTACTGACTGCACCAAGTCCTTCATTTCTTCTTTTTCTTCCCTTTGCACCCTTTGTTTTGGAACAAGTTACTTGAGAAAAAAAAAAATCAGCAAAAATAAAGTTCAGTCAAGTTCAGACTCCCTTGAAGAATTTATGAGGTCTCTCCCATGTCACATGTAGTCCACAAACAAGCCTAGTACTGACTATTTTCTTCTTCTCCTCTAACTTTTCTTTATCTCGACTAACTTTCTCTTTGTGTGTGTATGTGTATGTATGTGTGAGTCTCTCTTTCATATACGTATTGAGATTTGCCCAATATATAGCCTGCACCCAGCTCCCCCTCCTCCCAGATATGCACAGACACATCCTCCAATAGCGTTGAATTATGTTAAGAGTGCTTGACCAATGAGGTTAAAAGTTTAAAAATAAATAAATAAATCAACCTGTCGGGCCAAGCATGTCTGTAAAGAGGGTCCTTCAAACAGAAATACTACATCCTGAGCAAAAACTTTCCCAGTGAGAGGTTCAGGTTGAGATGTTTTGTATTTATTTATTGATGTCCAGAATTACAGTAACAATACTCCACTCAAAAGGACAAATGCGCATCTGAAAAGTTGCACATTTACATGTTAAATTTTAGTTTGCAAATGGATTTATTGTGTAGAGCTTGTTGCCTTTTCAGTTCATAAGGCTTTAAAAGGCTGTTCTGTGCATGTTGTGCAATATTTTTTTACTACTGTAATGAGATCATGCAGGACAGTGGGGAAAAAACAACAGACAGTATTGATTTAAAGGAAGGCTCCAAAGTCACACATAATCTGGACGTCACAGTGGGAATTTGTAAAGTCTACAAATGCTTATCTAAATGACTTACATTGTGGTGATTTTAAAAGCCAAAGAACATCCAGAAACCATTTCCGTTCATTTCCAACGCAAGATTCTGATGTAGCACACTCATCTATGTGACTTTACTGTGTTGTGATGAAAATGTAACTTTGGTAACTTCTCCTCTAGTGCCACCCAGAGGTTAATGTCTGCACCTTGCAATGAAATGTCTCCACAACTTTTTTTTATGGATTGCCTTTAAGTTTTCAACACATGTTCATGTTTCTTACAGGATTCATTGCAGGCCATTCCTCACAGAAAAAAATCAGTTTGTCCAATTCTTACAAAGTTATGATTTTCTGATCAGCGTCATCTGTGTGATTTGCTCTGATGAGCAAATATTAGCATGTTAACGTAGTAAATAAACATTGTACTTGTCTAAAGCCAGCGTGTCAGTCTGGTCAGTGCGAGCACATTAGCATGCCCACATAAGCTCAACGCACCGCCTCACGGAGCCCCTGGGATGGCTGGTGACTCACAGCGTTTCTGTCAAAGACAAAGTTATTGGCTCATGTCTGCATAGAACCCTCTTGCATTTGAATGTTTCCTGCAAAACACTTCTGTTCAACATAATGATGCTGTCTTTCCTTGGAAACCAAACACTGCCTGTTCAGCCTTTGAGGGGCAGAGTGAGTCAAAGCAGCTTTTCCCAATTCTGCATTCATGAACAGGGTGTCCATAAACACAATCCTGTGATCGGCTACAGTAACTCATATCTTATTCTTAAAAGTGATGATAAGTAAAATGGTAGTACATATAGGATAGCATTAATTTAAAAAATAAAAGACAGTGTTGTTCCTGTCGAGTGGTAAGTGATGGCCACTCCACCCTCTCATAGAAGAGACAAGGACAGCCTCTGAAACTGTCACCTGCTCTCAGAAAAATAAAGGTGCTAATTGAAACCAAAAATGATTCTTCTGATGCCAAAGAAGAAAAACATTTTAGTTCCACAGAGAACCTTTAAAGGGGCTTCAAATAACTGTCAAAAAATACTTTATTTAGGCACCATAAATGTCACTCTGTCTGAAGAACTTTGTCAAACATAGGTTTAAGGTTTTCAAGATTGTTCTTCTTCACCTGGTTCTATTTTGATAATATGACTTGGTCATGGGCTGCAAGGTGGCGCAGTTGGTTAGCACTATCACTTCGCAGCAAGAAGGTCGCCGGTTCGCGTCCCATTGAGAATATCCGGGATCTTTCTGCATGGAGTTTGTATGTTCTCTCCATGCAGCGTGGGTTCTCTCCGGGTTCTCCGGCTTCCTCCCACAAGTCCAAAAACATGTTGAGGTTAATTGGTGATTCTAAATTGTCCATAGGTGTGAATGTGAGTGTGCTTGGTTGTCTGTCTCTAAGTGTAGCCCTGTGATAGACTGGTGACCTGTCCAGGGTGTCCCCTGCCTTCACCCTAGGTTGGCTGGGATAGGCTCCAGCCCCCCCGCGACCCTAATGAGGATTAAGCGGTGTATAGATAATGGATGGATGGACTTGGTCATTTTTTGCCCCCCAAAAAAAGTCAAACCACATTTTATATTTTTGATTCTGGACTTTTGGTCGGACAGAACAACACAATACAAGATCCAAGCTGGGGATTTGGGGCATTGTGACTGTACTTACTGTTTTCTGATGTTTTACGAACCAAATGATTTATCGATAATGACAATCATCATTAGTTTCAGTTCTAACGTTTTTATCTGCACGAAACCAAATAACTCCAATAAAAATGAAGTATTTTTTATACCACAATAATTATTTCAAGAACTCCTAAATAAAGAGGTTCTTCAGTTAATGATGGTACTTTAAAGAACCGCAGAGCCCTCTGAAGAACTGTGAAAGAGCCACTATTCTTGTGAGAGCATTGTAATACATTCAGTATTTCCGGACTGCTGGTCAGACGGAACAACACACTACAATTGTGGGAAGCGAGTGAGATCAACTGTGATTATTTGGGAAGCATCATGTTTCTGCATTGCTGTGCACAGCCTCGAGTGGCTGTGAGGAAATGGGCAGTAGCATGCATGTAAATGAAAAATGCCTAGTCAAGCACTGATAAAAAGGTTGCCTGTGCAATCTGCATTAAAGCTGTTGATTAAACTTTTTCTTTTGCTTGTGCTGCAAATTCTTGACAGTGTTATCATCTCCCCACTTCCTGCAGGGCAGTGATGCAGCACTTTGTGGGTGTATTTTACTTCAAGTGGTCTTAAAGTTAGTTGGTGATAGGAAAAAGACTCAAAAACTCATAAGATTCATGGAAGATTCACGCAAAAGACACCAGATCAGATGTGTTTCCTGAGACAACCCCTTAACTTTTGAGACTGAAATTGCTGTAAATTCCCTGCAGAAATCTTTGCCAATATTTGACTGACCACATAGCTGAAATTTGCAAAAACTGATTGGCTGGTTTAATCTAATCTATCCTGTCTGCTGAAAGAAAGCTAGAAAAAAAAAAAAACTTTAACTAGTGAGCTATTTCTGCTTGCACCAGCTTTTTTTGATCACACCAAGCCCAGTTGGTTTCACGAAAAGAACTTTCGCCTATTTCTTCAAGTACCACGCAATTTGGTGACAGCACAGCCCCTCGACTGGCTGCCACCTCTTATTCTGCCTCAATAAATATCGGACCGGCGCGTTTGGCTGCTGCTGATTCTTTAAGGCTTTAAGGCACACCTCTTTGGAAAGGCGACCTGCGAGGCGCATGGTGGAGAGCTACTCCTGCGCCTTTGGTTTAGCAGCAGACGCGCAGCTCCGGGCAGGAAGATGAGTGGCTTGGATGTGTTTTGCCATCCCGTGTGGGCCATTTCAACCGCGCTACTGGCGCTGTTTGTGCGCACACAGCGCAATAACGCACGATGGAATCCGGGGACCTGCGAGGTGCGGCTGACTGGGAAGACTGCTATAGTGACAGGAGCCAATACAGGTTGGTCGATCAGATAATTTCAGCTACTAATACAAAGCTGCAGGAGTGCTGGTGTTGCAGCAGTAAATTGCATGTTCTCAACTGTGTATTCTTGCTTGATTTTTATTTTATTTTTTCAGTTATAGCCTGTCACCTTCTTAGCTATAGGGATTATTGTCCAATTCCAAAGTTCAGGGTCAAGTTGAGTTTATGTTTAGTGCACAGCCACCTTAGATTTACCAGGAAAGATTTTGCTATCTGATATGCTGTCTGTATTTTTTGCTCTTTACATAAATAGAAATCAGCCTGGAGTGAAATTGAAAGGAAAAAAAAAACCCAGCAAGGTCAGGCTTACTCTGCACATGAATGTAATTTCTTCTGATGGTCTGGAATGAAGCACAGAATGAGGGAAAAGCAGCCAACATGTGTGGATGTTTGAGCTACAAAGGACATGAGTCTGTACTAAGTTAGGTAAAAAGAGTAACAGAGGCCTCCCTGCTATGGATGACATTTGTTGAGTGTTCTTCTAAAGAAGTGTAACTCACTTCATGCTAAATGTTACTTCATGCTTACCATACGGGTCCACACCATGATGTCATCCTCATCAGTCACTTTAAAGCTGTTTCCAGACTCTCCGTGACCCTTTTACTATATCTGTAAGAGCAGAGAATAGCAAAAAGTGCATCAGATGCAAATAAATAATAACTAGGACGGCAAAAGTATTTAATATCAGTAGCTAGGCCTTGGGAAAGTGGATTCTTGTGACCTGTGAGGTCTTCTAGGATTTCTAGTTGGGGGGGCATATCTGAGTGCACCAGACCGTTAAGTCACACCTAGAGCCATCTTCGTCCGTGTCCCTAATAGTGCATTTCTGTTGAAGTTGTGTCCCATGATCAAGTTACTCCACTGAGACTCCAGCTGGGTTTTGTAAAAGATCTAGTTTCATGCAATAACACCCCTAAGGCCATACTGGATAGTTTATTTAAAAATTCCCTAAATTCAGTCAGTAGCAGCAGCAAAACAGTGAGGCCAAACCAAACAACCTTGTGCTCTGTAGATTAGAGGCAGCTTGGGAGTGGTAAGTCTCTTTATCTTCATCACAAGACCCAAATAAGTTTGTTTGTTTTTTTCTTCTCTTTTTTTTATCTACTTCTGTCTCGTCAAAACTGTGCATTACAGACTAAATGTAAGCCTTAAGTCAGTGACACCGATGCTTAATGAAACTGTAATTAGATGCAAGAGAAATGAAACACAACAAAGGCTACACCCATTTTAGTCATCGGTGGCCTCTCTGGTGAATGCGCCACACCTGGAAGTGGTTGTACAACAGATATAGATGAGTCCCAGTACAGGGGCCTCAGGGTAAAATACTAGAACCCCTGAGGGAACAGTGTAGAACTACTGACCATAGTGAATTAAATTCACTTGTAAAAGTTTGACTACCCACCAAGTAAAGTAGGAAACTGATGTGGGGCGTCGGGGAGAAGCTCTGAGGGCCCTTGGGTTTACTCTGTGTCCAATGGTTTGCGGTCATTTGACATGGGTAAATCAAAAATGATGAATGCATTAAGGTAATGACGATGATTTCCCGTTACTGAGGCCTTGTGTTGAATATGAGCTCTGTGTTAAAATCTTTTTTTATTTTAATGAACTAAAATGATACACAGGCAGTATTTCAGCAAAGTAGGTTTGTGCATTCTGCTGTGCGCTCTGCACCTGATTTGCAAACAGGTTGTTACTCATTAAACAGATACTGGGAGGGTGAAGGGGGTTATTATGGGTTGGGTTGAAGCATCTCTTACAGCCTCTGAAGTTGCAGAGTTAATGAGCTTGGAAGGAAGAGAGAATCATAATTGACTCAGGATGATTCACTGTCAATTTTTTCTAATTGAAAAATGATCGCTATGACCGCTCACGTCACACCGCAGCTTGATGCACTCAGACTAGACAACGGCAACGGCATCAGTGGTCATGACTACGATGTCAGTACCTTTCTCTCTTTATCCCCCAGATTCCCTCAAGCTTTCTCCAGAGCCACTGTACCCCACCTGCTTCCTATTCGCTTATTATCACTATTGTGTAGATTTATCCAGTCGTTTGCCATTCAACTTCTCTTTTTTCTTCTCCTGTTACCTGTACCTGTCAATCCATAAACATTTATTCTCACTTTCCTCTTGAATAAATTCACTAAACTGTTTTAGCCTGACTGGTTGCCCTGCACTTCGGTCCTCTTTGCTATTGCTTTGTACACATTTGTGCCACTATAATCTGGCCTTGCCTCTGCCAGACTACCTATAAATTGTAAAAGAAATAAACCCATTTTAACCTTCTTTCACTATAAAATTCACCTGTAACAAAAATATGGCAGTCTTGTACAGTTGTAAGGAGCACTGGTTAAATTTTCACTGAAAAAAGATTTTAAAGGACAATTTTACTGGACCTGCGAGGATTAGCGCATAATTTCCTGCTGTAAAAAAAAAAATGTTTCAATGTCCTACCAAACAAGCATATGACTGTTTAGAAAGGTATGAGGACACATACCAAAGACACTTAGCATGATCCCTGATTACTCATTCACATTAGATGGTGTTGTCTGCTAGAGGGTCACTTGAAAATATTGCTTCACGCTGCTCAAATAACTATTATTCAAATACCGAAATGTTTAAAAAAAAATATGCTGAAGACGTCCCTCTCCGTTCTGAGTTTACATAATCTCAGTTGGTATTGTAATTTTCAGTGACTTGATTTCAGATTTGTTTAATTAAAGAAAATTGCCTTCACATTAAAAAAGTGAGTAAAAACCCAATAATTCCTGATTTACTCGTACTTGTTCAGACAGACATTATGTGAGGGTGGATTTAGACCAACTTGAACCAATCCCAGTTACTGAAGGTTTGTTGTAAGGATCTATTTTCCAGACTTAAAGACAATTTTATGTTCCTTTTGTGTTCAGCTTCTTCAGTTCCACTTCTGTGTCAATACTTTCCCACTGGTGATTCTGTTCAGGCAGCCCCTGAAATATTAGAACTCTCCTTTAATGTCCTTTACTCTTATTAAAGGTGGTTTGTAGGTTTTTAAAATTCAAACTGACATAATGCAGATAATCTAACAGGTACTTCAACATAAGACTGACATTGTCTACACAAACGGAACAAGCTTCCCACGGAGCCAGACAATTTTAAAGCAATTTTTTTCTCTCAGGTCTGGCTTTTAAGCCCCTCGGATTAAAATGTAACCACAGAGTCTGTTTACAATCACAATCATGGCATTACATAATTAGTATTGTGAATTTTGCAACCATGACATCATTTGACCTTTTGCTTGCTGAGCAACATCAGAAGACATGGTG